ATATTAAGCTTCAAACTGCCGAAGTAAATACCCTTATATTGGCAATTATCAAAAAAAATCCAACAGCATGAACTTGATAATCGATCGGATCTTCATCGACATTTGCTGGAAGCTAACTCAGTTAAATCACAATATTTGTTGACAATATTATAAAATATTCCCACGAAAGAATGGTTCGCTATAAAATAGAAATCTTTGCCCGAAAGCAGTTTTTTAATTTGCTTTGTGGAGGCTCGTTTTATAAAGTTTTAAGGAATAGAGAACTGTGATTGGTAAAAAAAAACCTTAATTGGACTTAATACGTTTATATATAAATGTAATTCTGTGGTTTACTAAAGGAAAAGACAACGAAAGAACAAATGTTTCGATTTGACTTCTCTCGCAATAACTCTTCCAAGTTTACTTGCTAGATATACTGTTAGAAAATGAGAATACCCTCTATTAGAGTATATTTTGTGCATTTCTAATGGGATATCTATAAAGCGCACAACGGAAGCTGTAAACTGTGAAGTAAAAGGTCGAATAAAAGGGCAGTCAAGTTCGCTGCAATTTGGATTATTGAACTCCAAATAAATTGATGAATGTGCCGAATCGAATACTTAATAAAAAAAACATTTATGAATGGATTACTTTGTCGAGAGCTAATTAAAAGCTATAAGTGTCACAGAGTATAAAATAGATAACGTGTTTTCGTAATTGGAAAATAAAAAGTCATCAATCAACACTAAATTAGAGCAATGAGAAGCAATTAATAAAAGTAAATCATTCTAAAACTAGGACTAAGACTAATGAATTTAAAAATGAATTTCAAATATTTATAATTTAATATTTATTTCAAAATATTCTTGTTGGAGAAGCAGCACTGGCTTCTAAAAGTCTTTGACTGTGGATATATTTGAGCCGAGCTCAACTAAACAGCTCAAGTGTAAGCAACAGTAGGGTATCCAGGCAATCGTTCGTGCTGGCAAAATATTGGTCCTGCTTAACATAAAAGTAAGTCAACAGCAGACAGACGAGAAGCGAATAGGAGTCAGTGCTTTTGGCATTCAGTCAGTCACATGCACAAACGTTGCCAATTTCAATATACGTATGTATTTGCCTATGGCCAAATTGTGTTGCCAACTGGTTCGGCAAGGACTCGCAGGACATGCGTCTGGCTTGGCTATCAATGACCGGGACTGGCTTCCAAAATTCGGTCTAGACGTTGTCTAATGACAAACGCAAACCACAAAAGACGATGACTGAAGATGTTATGCAAGTCAGTCAGAGCCAAGTCAAATGGAAATGGCCTGCCCTAGTCCTGGCCCGTATTGGCCTCCGTCTTGGCCTCTGTGCTCTGTGCTGACAGCCAATGCATAAATAAATAGACTCAACTTTAAATAAAACTCATCGATGGCTGTGGCTGTGGCTGTCTCTCTGCACTGGCTCCGGCTAATTCCTATTGACAAAGGCATCGAGAAAATTTTCCAGCTGCGCATTGAGGCGCAGCCATTGAATGGCCAAGCACAAGAGATGATTCCAAATTCATAAAATGCAAGCAAAATGAACAAATAAAATGCCTGAAAAGAGCAACAAAAAGTAAAAAAGATTTGGCGCATCATCATTATTTATGCGGCCGGGTCATCAGAGTACCCAAATAATAAAAAAAACACAATCAATGACGACGCTGTTTAACTTTTGTAGCGAAATTTGCATGCCAGAGAAAAGACCATCATTACGATTTAGAAATTAATATGCGAATGAGCCAGAAAAAGAGAACTTCAACAATATATATTCCCATGCAGTGAAATTTTTTCTCCGCAAACTCTTTTCGCTATAAAATAGAAATCTTTGCCCGAAAGCAGTTTTAGTATTATTTTTGAAACGAGCATGAAGCGGTCTCTTAATTTTCTTTGTGGAGGTGCGTTTAATAAAGTTTTAAGACATAGACAACTGTGATTATTGGTAAAATAAAACCCCTTAATTCTACTCAATAAGTCCATATATATGTGTATGTGTGTGGTTTACTGAAGGAAAAGAAAACGAAAAAACAAAATAGTTTTATACAACAATTTACGCTAAGTTTTCGTTCAAAAGTTGCAAATAGAAAGCAATTCTATACTTTTTTTTGACTATACAAAATTTATTGGGACCTATATAGAAGAATAGGTCAAAGACGTCTGGTCCCGCTTCAAAGCCATTTGTATATATGTTTAAATTTCTGTGCCAATTTAAAACTGATCTCTCATTTAAAGAACAAGCTCGACGCTGGCGAGCCAATTTGTAGAGTTAGGAAAACCAGGCTTAAGGAGACACTCTCACAAAAAGTACGAAATAACAAAGCCTAGAAGGTAGCTCGAATAAATCAAGACAGACATCAGTCCAGCTAATACTGAGAAGGATTTTGGGCATGCAGGAAAATGTCCAAAAATGGGGACAAGGCCAGCATAAGCGGGCTCTAGCCGCGACTTTCCATAAATATGTTCACCAGAACCATCCACAAATTCCACGAAAAATGTCCCAGAGTGTTTTCGCGAAAACCCAAAACCGAACAGGAACGCCACAGAACCCAACGTCGCGACGAGAACAAGATTTGAGCCGCGTTCAAATACTCGGCGCTAAGTTAAGGTAGCCGTAATTGAGGCTTAAGACTGGACACAGCCGGCGATGTGTTGGGAATCGTTTTGGGTACGGCAGCGGTAGTATCCCATGTCCCATGTTCCAGTCATAAAGCCATAAATAAACTGTGGAAATACCCAGACAGCCGTTGCGGAAAATGTTCGGAATGAAAAGCCTGGATACACTGTTTATGATCTACACGCGCCCGGGCACATGCGCTAATGAGATGAACTACCTGGTGGGATATTGCAAATTGAAATGGGTGGCTACCTGCTTGCCATATAAGGAGGTCCTGCACAGGTCCTGGCATTAAACGCGCACGAAACGTTAAAGCGTGAACAGTTCAATATGAGCAGCCGCAACCTGGAAAAGAAAACGGAAAAGCAGCGTTTGAAGCAGCTTAAGAAACTAACCAAAGCCAAGCAGCGGCAGGATAAGGTCAAGAAGCATACGAAGAAGCGTCTCAAGATGAAAACGCGTAACATAAGCTTCGACTACCAGCTGTTCTTATACCGCCAAGAGCTCCGGCGAGCCAATACGGACTTCTCCTATCTGCGTCTATCCCGTGCGAAGATCATGCTGACTGCCGAGCTAATAGCCAAGAACATTGGCAGCTATAACAAGCTGTGCAGCGTGGATGATCTCAAGATGCTCAGTCGCGAGGTGCAGTTCAAGAAGCGGCTGTGCAACCAGGTGGAGCGTCTAGAACAGTTCCAGGAACTCGGACTAACCGATGTGGTGCTCAATGGCAAGAAGACGGCGCTCTAGCGCGCTCCAGTTTGTCATGTGGTCATGTTGTGGTTTAGGCTAGGGCTGGGCATTAGCTTAAAGTGGTTTTATAGTTTAGTTTGTAATATTTTATCAAATAAAATATGGCATTAACATAGATTTTCCTTGCGTCTTCTTGACCATTTTCAACTTATCAGCTGTGCTGCTCTGCAACACGCTCTGTGCGGCCGAAGAGTTGGCGCAGAACAATGTGAAACCAAATGATATCGAAGAGGCGCATAAATTGGAGGTCCTGCTGGAGTCCACACGTACCAGCACAACCCCAAAACCCATCAGCAGCTCCACAACCAAAACAAGCACCTATGAGGCTCATTTAGAGGATCATGAATATAATTTTAAACATGATCGCCTGCCTGCGCTTACGGAGGATGAGTTTAACAGCTTGAGCCATGACGCCAATCCGTTGCATTTCCTCAAGCAGCTGACAGAACCGCCGGCGGACACAACTGAGCCGCAGGTAGACCCAACTAAACCTCCTCCAGATCCAACCAAATCTCAGACAGAATCAACCCAGCCGCAGGTAGCTAAAACTTATGCTCCCTTCACTTTCCACTCAAAGCATCTTTAGTTGTTTATCTGTCATCGTTCTACTACTAAAAAGTAAATCACTTTTTCTTTTGCTTAAACTGTGCAGCTTTCATTTTATGCAAATTGATTTTCTAATTTAAGATACGTTAAATAATTGTTGCAATTTGTCAATTCTTTAGCTTTCTCTTCAGCATGTAATTGTTACTTCACCCATATACTAAATACACACATCTTTATCTACGTTCATCGATTAATTAATTCAATAAAATAAAGCTCTTCATATATAAAACTATCTTTCCCAACTGACTGATGCTCAAATTTCATTTCACTTTTCGAAAAAAACACTCATTTTAAAAGGAAATGGGACTTTACTCTACAAAACTTAAATAGACGTTATTTAAAATAATCAAATACCTTTGTCTCTACACGCGGATTTCAAGAGAGTACGGGTCAGATTATAATTATCTACGGGCATCCGGCCAATGTCGGGAAAATGAATGTCGTAAATTTGAATCAAAAATTTTGGACCAGAAAAGAAGACAAATATCTGCATAATAATCATCATTCATCGTATCATTAATATATTAATTCTGATCCCACTCTAAACGAGATTACACAAATATTTCGATCTGTTTAGAATACTAAATCCGACTCGATTCCTGGCACACCAATCTACATAACCATACCGATCTATATCAATACCGCTGGCAAAATGCCGATCAGCCTGACCATTGGCGATCAGGAAATGCCGCTGCAAAGACGCAGCTCTGCCCAGAAGAAGAACCACTCGACCAAGTCGCCCAACTCGTATTTCAATCGTTTGCTGGAGAAAATTGAGCCACCCAAACGGCGTACAACCAATCGACATCGCAGCCAGAGCCGCAGCAAGATCCAAGCTCTGATGGCGCGCAATTCCTCACAGCTCTATAAGAAGCTAAGCGCAGCCAAGAGTGAGGAATGAGGAGCGAGGAGTGAAGAGTGCGGGCTAAAGGAGTTTTAGTTCAAGGAATTTCGTGTATTTGCACATTTTTACAGCTAACAATAAATAGTTAAAATAAATAGTTTGAGGTATTTGCTCGGCATTCCTAGACTGCATTGCTAGCAATTGCTGGCTCCGCGGGCTGGGCCGTATTTTCGACAGGAGCTGCAGTTACAGCTGCGGCCACCTCGGATTGCTTTTCGGGCTGCGTCTCTGGCAACTCGGGCTTTTTGTCCTCCTCCTGCTCCTCCGTGACAGTTGCGGCGGTGGCAGCAGTTGCTGGTGGCTCCTCCTCATCGTCATCGGCAGCATCAATAACCTGCTCGATGGTTTGCTGTATAAAGTGCTCGAACAGCTGGAAGTACTGCAGGGCATTGTTGGCCACCTGCTCCGTGGGCAGCTCCGCGGTGACCTTTTTGAGTGCATCACGTATTAGGACGAGCACCGGTTTACGGGTGGTTGTTACTGAGCTGGTCGTGGGAATGGTTGTGGCGCTCTCAGCGATTTGCTCAACAGCAGCGGGGACTGCGGCTGCTGCGGGTGCTGCGGGTTCTGCGGATGCTGCAGGAGCAGCTTCAGCTTCAGCTGCAGCTGTTTCCTTGGCAGGTTCCACGACAGCCTCGCGGCGTCTTCGGATAAACGAGGCATCATCATCATCGTCTTCGGTGGCACTATCCTGCTTTTTCTCCACTTCATCCTCATCGTCGTCATCGTCCTCAGCATCGCTGTCCGCGCTGGAATTTTGTGCCTCCTCGACTTTTCTCAGAGCTGAAAAATCACCGTCCTGGACCAGTCCATACTCCACTTTGGCGGGGGCGGCACTCACAGCAATGGCCAAGGTGAGCAATGCAGCTGTGCGGGATTAACAGAAATGATTTTAAGCGCTCGGGACTCGACTGGATGGAACTTACCCAACGTCAGGTAAATGTGCTTAACCATATTTGTTGCTTATTTTGGCTAATCCTTCTGGCTCGGTACGGGAACGGGGCACAGTTGACTTTTGCAGTTTTGCGGTCTTTATGAGCGAATCCAGCGCTTTGCTTTCGCTTTTTATAGCCATGCGACGGCTGCGGTTTTGTCTAAAATGAAAGTATATACATAAGGCCTGGCCTGGCCTGGCCAGGCAGGCGCTGAGCGAGCTCTTTCAGTACTGGGGGGGTCTGGTCTCTGGGGCAGACCAACATCCAAGCTGCCGCTTTTACTGCAACGAGCTCTCGGCGCTCTTTCTTTTTGCTTTATATTTATTTTTTTTGTTTTTATTTACCTCGTTTTTCTTTTCTTTTTTTGTTGCTGTTGTTGTTGTTGTCTGCTCAACAAAAGAAACCGAAATCATTTATTCAAAACTTGGTTTCTGGTCACTTCTTTCATAAATTTGTTTATTTATGCTCAAACTTTTGGCCATCTCGCGTCTGTTTGGCTTACGCATTAACAGCCATTTGCCAGTTGCGGGCGTTACGAGCCGAACTCTTCTCGCTGTTGTTGTTATGGTCATATGCAAATATGTTTAGGTGCCACAAATATTATAATTTAAAAGAGATTTATTTTTCTTTTTTTTTTTGGTTCCTTTTTGTACAACAGCATGACACACCTAATTGACTGATTTAATTTCCGTCTGCTATCAGTCATTGCTCTGCTCTGCCTAATTATGTAATTATTATTAGAGCCTATTTGATTGTTTAGATCCCACAGCATCGTGTGTTGTTGTCATTGTATATTATTTATTTCACTTTGACGTCTTGAACTTTCTAATGCATTTTGAAAATTTGAAAACTTTTCCATAAAGCATAATTTGAAAATCAAACGCATCTGATAACAATGAAAGCAATACCCGATCACGAAGGGAATGAATCATACAGATGCGTTGCGGAGAAAGCAATTGATCACCATAATCTGGTTTGGGGATTTTTGAAACTGTACCTAATTATAAAGTTGCTTGTACACGGTTATCTCTCTGTGAAGACCATCTTTTTGGCTCTAATTACATAAATAAATAAACTATAAATATAAATAAAATATTTCTGAAAGAGCTTTTAAATAGGGAGAGCAGAGATTAGGTCAAAGATTTCATCAGTAGATTTGCTCTTCTTCTTTCAGTAGAAAACGTTTTAAATTTGGAGTATACCAAATTGTTTCACTTTAAAATTCGTACAGGAATATTCTTTGTAACGCAGTAAACTAAGTTAAACAAATTGAAGTCTGCAGCTCAACTTTTGCCACAAAACGGTCTGTGATTGGAACATAATTTACAATTATTCATCTAATTCCATCATCTATAAAGTACCCCAAATTGGATTCTAGCTGGTGATAACAAGCCGCTTGATTGGATGATAATTTCAAATAAACAGAGAGACACTTGGGCATACGGCGAGCTCCTGAGGCGAAAAGAATTGTGTGTGGCTGTAAAACGAGATCACAAAACCTTTCGTATTGACCCAATTTTGAACCGGCTTTCGACACAAGCCACCAGCTTCGGTCGGGTGGGCGGGGACCAGCAAAGGTGGGTTAGGTGATAAACAGACAACCAGTTCGAGACCAACATTCTAGATGCTTAAAAGGGTATACAGGCACGTCGCATGCGCTGATATATGAAGACCACATGAGTTTGCATAAAAAATTTCACCAAAAAAAATGAAAAAAAAATTCAACTTTGCGTACTTTCGATGCAGACAAACAGAAACAGAAGAAAACAGCATGGGAAGATTACCAAGAAAACCGGTAAAGGAAAAAAGAATACCCCGCCCAGCAGAGCGCAACCCAAAGCTAAGATACTTAAGAGGCCACACGCCAGAAGATGCGATCAGTTATTGTCGGAGCGAGCCACTGTTAAGATCGTTCCAGTTGTATAGCAAACAGCAAACAAAGATGAGACCACACCAAGCTGCATGCATCGTAGGTAAGTCGGGCTAACCCATTGTCAGGTAGCGTCCAGTCTCTTTCAACCTGCATTTCTCTGTTGCCAACTGTTGCAGTGGCCGCTCTGCTGCTGCTAGAACCTGCTAGCATTGAGGCCAAGCGTCGCAAGCACAAGGGCGACGATCACAACGACTCGCACAAGACCAAGACGAAGACAAAGTGGTCCAGCTCCACGGATTTGGGTGGTGGTGCCAATGCCCAAGTTTCCACCGAGGAGCATGGCTACTATGTGAAACGCACGTACTCGCCCCTAACAGGCGCCGATGGCAAGCGCAAGAGTCCGCCCTATCTGGCCATACCGATTGCCTGGTTCGGCAAAGACTCGACCAAGGACAAGGACTGTCAGCAGATCAGCAATTCGGGTGCCATCAACAGTGCTGCCCACTCGCTCAGCGAGGGTTACCTGTGTGACGATGACTGCGAGGATGCCTATGAGCCCATCTGTGGCCAAACAACCAACGAGGTGGCCGTTTTCTACAACAAGTGCAAGCTGAATGTGGCCAAGTGTCGCACGCATGGACTGTGGACGGAGCTGCCCTATGAGCAGTGCCAGCAAACATATCCCAAGGAAACGGCCTATACCGACAAGAAGTTCAGATGTTCGCCCTTTTTCCGAGCCAATTCCACAGCTGCCACGCCCGCGGTATTTGCTGAGCCCGAGAACGACAAGGAAAGCAAGGAAAGCAATGAAAGCAGCGAGGAGCAGAAGGATCATGACAAGAAAAAGAACCAAACCAAGCCAATTAAAGAGGAGACCATTTCGTTGCCCCTGCAAGAGCTTGGAAAACCCGTGGAAAGCGCAGTGCCAGTGCCTGTTGAAAGCATTGCCCTGCCCCCGTTGCCAGTCAAAACAACTGTAACACAAGCTTTCCCAGCCGAAGAACCACAAACGGTTCAAGTCGCTCAAATTTCAGGTTCTTTGCCCGAAGCCTTAGCTTCGACTGTGGTTCGAGGTGAGAAAACCTCGGGGACAGCCAATGAGCAGGCCAAACCTAAGTCTGATAAGGATAAACTTAAATATGTGGTATCTTAATCAACTAGTATCTTAACTTATTTTAGTAGTAAATAAAGACAACAAAAAATCTCTAGTTAAAGGAAAAATTAAAATTTATTCCATTCCATTTGTTTGTTTTTTCAAATCTGATCTTGTCTTAACCGCTCAGTTTTTGTTTTTATCAAACAATTTGCTCTTTGGCAGCTTTATATATATTTAATTTCAATTTATTGCAAATTAGCTGCAGCTATAATAAATATATATTGGTCCTACAAGGGACAAATATTTTCCAGATTTAACGATAAGTGTAGGGTTCCAGGTCGCTTAGGATATTTTTTAGAGGCATATATAATCTCGAAAAGTCAGAGTATTTAAATTCTTGTGCTGTATTTACAATGCTTTACACTTATTTTTTAAAATCCTTCCCCTGCAGATCCGTAGCACTAGTGAAATTTCATTTTATTTCCATCCCACCATAGAATTTCCCAAAATGTTCAACTTTGCATTCATACTTCGTTTGGAAAATATAATAAAAGATAATCTTTTTTATCTTATACATATATCAGATCTATCAATCAAATTTAAAAATAAACTGAGTGAATTTTATTATACTGTAAGCCCTGTTAAAAGGCTATATTGGTTTTGTACAAATATATGTGGTACAAATGTGGTATACAAATTCTTGATCAGCATCAATATTCGAGTCGATCTAGCCATGTCCGTCTGTGTGTCAGTATGTCGATATCGAAATCCTGCTTTTAAGCAAGTCTCTTGGGCTTTTAGGGCTAGAGTCACCAAATTTGACATGTATCTTCTAGGATAATATATACAGATCAAGTAACTTTTTATGGCTATATGCATCCATAAGCGTGTCTATTATAAATCTATAACTATAATTTTAATTGCGATTGTATTGTATGCTGTTCTCACATATACTTCAGCTTTTTTCAGCAAAGCTCAATTCTCAGCTTGGATGTGAGATATGAGCCGATGGCAAGTATTTTGATCTGTTGAAGGTGGTTCGAGCTCGGCAAGGGAAACTAATTTTTTTGAAAATGTACTTTTATGCATTCGATGCTAGTAGAAAAAGGTTCTGGCACCGCGACTAGAGCTCCCTTGATTCTTTTCCTTTTAATTGAAAATAATCTAAAAATGCTAAGGAATTTCTTATAGAAAACTTTTATCATTCATTTAATGATGAAACGTGGGCGGGCCTTACTAGGCCCTTGGGGAAAGAAAGGCCACAAAATGCATTAGGCTTGCCCATCTTAAGAACATTTTAATATGTCATCTGCATATATATGTGCAGTTCATTGAACTGTCAAACAAGTTCTATGATAGTTTTATGGACTGATTGACAGCATAAGATACCAACAATTCAAAAGATCACAAAACAATAAAATCCCAAAACTAAACATCGTTGATTGAGCGCGAGATGCAGCCGGTTGTCCCACGGGCAACCTATAAAAGATGCGACAAATGCACCCACAGCGAACAGAAGCCAATCGACTGCAATGGCAAACGGAACCTGCACACTTGGTGCCTCCTGGTGGCTGCTGCTGCTGCTGTTAGGCGGAGGTGAGTTAAGGTAACCCAAGCTAAGGCGCTACAACTCAAGAGATGTCTTTCTTAGCGGTCCTTAGTATTCAAGCGGCGCCCACTGATTCGGAAATTGATGCAACGTCTGAAGAACCGCTTGCTGAATCACGTTCCCAGAAACAGGATCAGGACATCTTGGATGTCGACGATGACTTAGATGGGCGTAGTGCATATGTCAATAATCAATTTGTGCCCAGTGAGCCCGTCGAGCTGGTAGATGATGAACAGAATGCGCCACTCTATGAAATACTACAAAAGCAAATGGAACAAGTGCTTGCAGCCACTGGCCCTGATGTGCCCATCTTTGAGGATGAGAAATCAAAGCGGCAGCGCGTTCAACATCCGCCCAACAAACCACTTTTCACTAACAACGCAGCAGACGCGGATGACGACTATGTGGAAGAGTCTGCGCAAGAGCCGGAGCAGGGCTATGGAGAGGCAGAGAAGCCAGATGCAGCCACTGGAGAGGAGCTGCCCGATGCAGGCTATCAGGCTAAGCCAACGAATAGCATAACTACACAGGCCCCGAGCAGCAGCAGCACCACCACCATACGAAATCGTCCCCAGCGCAGGCGCACCACCACATTGATACCAAGAACCACTCGAGCCAAAACCGCCACACAATCAAAACCGACAGTCACAACGCAAAGCCCAGTCAATCACACAGAGCTAACAACTAGCACCACCACAGCAATCCCTCCTACAACGAGCCAGAAGCCCCGACCACACACCAAGCCCATTCCCAGTAGCATTCTGCCACACGATCCGCAAATCTACCAGCACAAGCGTCGCATTATTTTCAAAACCATTTCGACAGGCTCCCAGTTCGTCAACTCTCCCATAGGTGATCTTATGATTAAATTCTCCATAGGTTTTGCCAAGCCTGCTCCAGGCCTGGTCACGCCATCTAACGAGGCAATACGCGCTCTATCCCAAAACTTGCTGCGCAACATAGAATTACAAAAGCTGAAAAGAATTAATAAAATACAAAGGGATTAATAAATTTCGCTATATTAGTATAACATTCTTTAAACGTGCATTCGAATATCTTAAAAAACTAACAAAGTCAGTGGGGTATTTCACATGGTGGCAGCTTAAAGGTTAGATAAAAAACAAAATATTTGAAAGCAGTAATTCAAAGTCATTCGAAATATTCTACGAACATGGTTGCAAAAGATAAAAGTTAAATAAAAAATGTATGTTAGTATTCATTATGATGATTATGATGAAACTTTCAATTAACATATTTCGCATAACTTTCAAAATCTTTGTATCCTTCATACTCTTCAGCTTGAAATAGTTGTAGAAGAAATTAAAAAACAATTGAAGTTCACAAGAAACATTTTCTTAAGCTGCCTGATATGTATTAGATGAAGGTAAGGCTGGCTTTTATTCTCAACTTGCAACTCAATATGAAATTTAGATAGATAAAACAAAGTACAATGTTTTATACACATCAGCCTTACCTTTTACAAACATAAATATTCTGGAATATGTTATAATAAATGTTAGTTACACGAATGTGGCTGTTCTTAAGCTAAGAGTAGGATTACCAGTGCAATTGCCCTAATCGTTTTGTTCGAGTCTATCGTTTGCATTAGATACATTAAAGTCAATTTGTTTGCTTTAAGCTTAAAGCATTACAAAAATATGCGCTCCTATGTATTAAAGGAAACATCTGAGAGAGTCCAATGTTTAGGCAGAGACGCTCTTAGCGCACCGGCCAAAACTTGAGAGCCAGCAGTGGCATGGTGACACCAATGATAATGGTAGAGATAAGGTTAACGCTGTGGTTGTCCAGGATGCGCAGTCCACTAACATGACGCACACCTTTGCCGGGCGCATCCACAATCTTACCATGCGTATTAATGCCGGAGAACTGCAACAATCCACCCAGTACTGAGTCCAGCAGCGAGCCAAAGAGTCCCGCTAAGCCACCAAAAAATATGATAGGCCACTGCGGTGGACTGACGAGCAGCATTTTGGCCTCAACCGTATAGCGGACGGTTGCAAAATAGGCAAATCCAACGAGCAAGCCACCCAGCAGGCTTACCACAATGCCAATGAGCGAAATTCCACCATTCGTGCCACGTGGCACGCGTCGCCAGCTGATGATGGAGATGGGATCGCGTGTGGAAAGGACACTACCCAGCTCACTGCTCCACGTGTCACCATTGCAGCAGGCAAACGCGCTCATCACGGCAATTCCCAGCCAACTTGAGCGATACTCCTTGGCGAAATCAATGGAACGCTCTCCACTGCCGCAGTCAATCAGGTAGAGCAATGCCAGCTGCGTGGCCATGCCTCCATTGCACAGCACTTGTACCCAATTGCGTTGTCCTTCGCCTTCCTTGAAGTCGTCCTCGAATTTGCGTTTCAATTGCGCACGAAATTTGGTGGCACGAGATGAGCTAAAGAAGAAAACTACCAGACTGGCAAAGAACGGATGACTCGCTATGGACAGCGTGAACGCAACGACCACGCCCAAAGCGGCACCCGATTTGCTTACCGAGCGGCGACGGAGCGCTACAGTCATCAACGCCAGCGGTGCCAATGTCGAAAATAACCAACGAGTCGGCGCTATGACCAAAGGCTCTGCCAAGAAATCCAAATGTAATCGGCTTATCAGGAAATGGAATCAAAATTTACCTTCAAAGTCGTAGCTCCAGAATTTAGAGAATGCCACGTTGCCCAGCCACATAAATATGGAGATAGGTATCGAAAGGCCACAGAATAACAAAGGCATCCAATCGCCGTTGGCCATTGTGTTTGTTAAATTTTATTTTTGTAAGCAAAATGAGTTTTTATTCAAACGTAAACAAAAAAGTGACCAATTTTTGATCAGTGTGGCCAAGCTTTGGTATTTAACTAACCAATTGAGTAAAAAATACTAAAGAATAGTATGGGAAGCTGGTATTATAAATGCGTACATAACAGGGTGTATCAAGTACAATTTGAAATATTTTGCGCGAATAATCACAACCGTTGTGAATTACGTTCTAAACTTTAAAAGCTATGCTTGCCAAGGCCAAATCTGTACAAAAAATGTATATACCTTTTTGTTGTTTTTTTTATTAATACACTATTGCACTATTGTTTATATTTCAACGAATTTGCCGAGCTATAAAGATAAATAAGCCTAGGGGTCATAATAACATTTCATTACTGTCGCTATTAACTTACAAAGCTGAACAAATAAAAATCAATTTTAATTCATAGATGCCCCAAATAGATATTTTTGGATGCATGCAAATTTATTTCAATAGGCCTAGGCAATTAGTTATTAATGAAAAGTTTGCTTCTTGTTGATCTTATCAAACTAGGTTGCTTCGCCTCTCTGAGTGCGTTTTAATTAAGAATATTGATACCCTTGAAACAAACTCAACAAACGCTCAAGCCTTTAAATCGATTTATATACTAACTGGCACTTCCCTGCTTTGCCTGGGACAAGTTTCTTTTTCAAATTTTATGCATCACTTTCCCAATTTGCAACCCCATTCCCAGATTTGAATGGGCTTAAATGTGTTCTGATAAAAATAAAAACGTCGAAATCAATTTTTTTGCTTGTTACCGGCCCGCGCAACTCCGAAATTCTTAAATGGTATATTGATTTGGAAGCTCTGAAGTTCTTGATAAACGTGTTTACAAAAATATAATAATTTGGGTTCGTAAGAATCACAAGAATCAATTGCCATTAAAAATGCCAAATATTATTTTTCAGCAAATTTGACAAAAATGGCTCGGTAATAGCCAGGGTAAATAAGGTCCGCTTATGGAATGATATACCTCTCGTATATCATATGAGCGGTATAAATATAACATAAAAAAACCTTTAAAAATTTTGCTCTCAAAATCAACCTTCAGTCGATAGTTGTTGTCCGTGCGGGTCTAAATTGGTGTATCCTTTCAATGCTCTTAGTGCTCACTCTTAAAACAAAAGGAAGGTCCTAAACAATTTTCAGCAAGCCTCCCCTTGCCGAAGAGGACGAACTCTATTATATATTTAATATATATGAATATATATACTACAGTTCAATACTTGAATACAATTCAAATAAATAAATGTTAAAACATTTTGGTGACAGATAAGAAATATTCGAGCTTAACATTGGAATGCTTAGCGTTACTAGTAAGCTCTATTTATAGATATGACAATGCTGCTAAGGAAACACAGAGGTTATCAAGCGCAAAATGCTTCCGCTAAAGATCATTAAAAAAAGAAATCCAAAACAAAACATAGCTGCGGATCTAAGTGCCTACCCAAGTCAAGGGACGGACAATTGCAACATACAGACCATATGCATATTTAATGAGCCGGCCGGGGGGACACACTTGAAAATGGAAGAGTATCAAGAAGAAGAGGAAGAAGAGGAAAAAGTGTAAGTATCCAAGATATACACAATTGAGTATCTTTATATGCTAATAAATGGCCACACATTTCCCTAAAATGGGTCAAAAGTCTCTCCCCCATCTGCGACGATGTTGTAACACAGACGCATTCAATGGGGCGCCCCAAACCAAGTGATCGATTGACACGATCAAAGTGTTGATATGTAATGGAATAGACATAGACTCAAATGAATAGCACTGACGACGCGGCCCAGCCTTAAGTGGTTCGTCTCTGTGCTCTGTGTGCGTATTTGTATGTACATGCGATAAGGCAGAGCCAGAGCCAGAGCCAGAGCCAGGCGTAAAAGTGCTGTCAGTGTCTGGGTGTTAATCCTAAATAAATATTCATTCTGCCACATGCAAATGTATAAATGTATTGAAATTGCTTGCTTTCAATGAATTTAGCTCCAGCTTGAGAACTTTACGTCTCCATGCTCTGGCGACGTTACGTTATTCGCAATCTAGCAGTTGTCGCGTTCGGCTGCAGATCGGAACTGAAATTTGGATCCTACTCGCAAGGCGAAGAAGTATGTGTGAATAAATAGCATATTGTGGAATACTTACAAAACTACAAAAAAAAAAGGATATGTGAATACAAGCTATACTCTCTCTGAGATATCGGATTATAAATAAGCGAATAAGACAAGTGAATGAAATTATAATATATTATCACTGCATTAACTGTGTCAAGGATAAGTCCAAGCTGATAAAACCCACTTGCTAAATGATTAAAAGATTAATTCATATAAATATATGATTTACTAAAATTGTACAAGGATATAAGACGTTCATCCTTTAAGCTAAGAATTCGGTACCTAAATGCAAATATTCAAGCGAATTCGAAAACAATTTTGAGGTTAATAAAAGGTGAAAGTGTGCACTATTCGAACTTTATAAAGGTGGAACTTCTGTAAAAATAATGAAAACAATTCATAAAAAAAACATTTTACTTATTTGGATGACTTGTTCTCTTAGAACAAAAATGTGGAATTAATGAATATGTGTCGATTAAATTTCTTGAAAGCTATACTCGCACTTATAAGAATATTTTCAAAGAATATTTGCCAGCACATGTCATTACGTCATACCACAAGTCATTCAACAACTATAGTTTTGTAGTTCATATTTTATTTAATTTTTTTTTGGCATTTGCGAACTCATTTTAAAAAAGTGTCTTTGGTGATAACCCCTTGTGGCAGATACTGAGAGGAGCAACGATCTACGCCTTGAGGAGAAAACGACAACTATTAAAAAATTAAATAAAATAATATGTATATATATGTATATATATACATATTAATCAAGAAACTGTGTTGATAATACAATTCAATTTCAATTTACAGTTTGCTGGGTCTATACTCTTCGAGCACGCGTTCCCATTGGATTCAAATTAGATTTATTGAAATGTTGCCCTTTCGATGGGGCCTGCTGCTTGGCATCGTGCTGCTCATAGCATACACAAATGGAGCGGCCATAGTAAGTGTCAAAATTGTTAATGAAACTTGATGAATTAAATTAAGTGTATGATAGAGACAGAGAGAGAGCATTTTATTAAAATTATTCGTGAATGTAATAGTTCAATGCACATGAACTCGGCCCAAATAAAGTGAGATAAGAACCGATCGTTGGTAGACTTGTGACCAAGGTCAGTTTTAGAAACCGAATGAGCTCATACACCGACTAAGCGATTGCGAATAGGCTGACATTAGCATTGAACTTTATTATTTAAATTGATTATCAACAACAGGATCAAACATCTGTGGATGATGATGCCGAGCTGACTGCCCTGACTGAATTAGAGCGAACCAAAAGAAGCGGCAGAGGCTAGTAAGAAGCCAAATAATGTAACACTCAATCAGAGATCTGTAAAAATAATAAATCACTTGCAGTGTCCGTGGACAAACACAGTCCCAGTACTTAAACTTTGGCAAGCCCGAACAGGATGGCAAGGCTGAGGCAGAGGCTAATGAGGGTGGTTCACGTTCAACTGTTTGTAAGACAGATATAGTAAATATATTGCTTATCCGGATATATGTATACCTAACTCTATCAATTCTGCAGCTGGTAGTCATGGCATGGGTCAAGCTCAGAGTCAATTCTCTGGTGGAGATTGTAGTGAATGCTCTGGATATCATACGGAATACCCAGGTACTGGTGGCTCAGCTTTGTATCCAAGTGGTCCTAGCGTCGATGGTGCCGCTTCTCTTCTTCCAGGTCGCATAGGCAGACCTGATGCTATAATTAGTATACCTGGCTTAGGTGAGTTATTTTGGAAAATACAAATAAAAGAAATTGAAGCAGCGTTAATGGAATTCTCATATAAGGCGGTGCTGGGGCTACGGCTGGAGGACAGCCAGGATCTGGTGCTGGTCAGCCTGGCTATGGAGCACAGCCAGGAGGTTATAATCAGTTTGGCATTGGTGGTGGACAGCCGGGTTACGGAATAGATGGGCAACCTGCAACAGGAACTGGACGGCCAGGTGCTCAGCATGGAGCTACCGGACAGCCCGGTATTAGCGGGCGTCCAGGTGCTGTTATTCAACCTGGAGCAGGAGGCCAGCCTGGTGCTCAACCAGGAATAGGAGGCACTCAACCCGGCTATGGAGGTGAGGGCCAGCCCGCAATCGCAGGGCGTGGTCACCCTGGGTCTAGTGGTTCGCAGCCCGGTTACGGAACCGGAGCACAGCCTGGAAGCAGCGGTAGCCAGCCTGGCTACGGAACTCAGCATGGAGCAGGAGGTCAGCCCGGAACTGACGCTAGTCAGCCAGGCTATGGTACCCAACCAGGAGCAAGTGGACAGTCGGGAATCAGTGGCGTTCAACCTGGATACAGAACTCAGGCCGGATCAGGAGGACAGCCAGGAATAGGTCAGCTTGGCTATGGAACGCAACCAGGAATAGGTGGTCAGCCTGGATACGGTACTCAGCCTGGAGCAGAAGTCCAGCCGGGTATTGGCGGTGGGCAGCCTGGAATTAGCAGTGGTCAACCTGGTTATGGATCTCAACCTGGATCACGGGGACATCCCGGAATCGGAGGTGCTCAGCCAGGATACGGTACTCAAACTGGAGTAGGAACTCGCCCCGGAATAGTCGGTGGACAACCTGGAATTGGCGACGGTCAGCCTGGATATGGTACCCAACCAGGCATAAGCGGAATTGGTGGTGGTCAGCCCGGATACGGTCCTCAGCCTGGAGTAGGAGGCCAGCCTGGATACGGTCCTCAGCCTGGAGTAGGAGGCCAGCCGGGAATTGGCGGTGGGCAGCCTGGAATTAGCAGTGGTCAGCCTGGTTATGGTGCCTTACCTGGAGCAGGAGGACAGCCAGGAATCAGAGGTGCTCAGCCTGGATCCGAATCCCAACTTGGCGATGGTCATCCTGGCTATGTAACACTGCCAGGAGCAGGACAGCCAGGAATCGGAGGTGGTCAGCCTGGATACGGATCTCAGCCAGCAATCGGAAGTGGTCAGCCTGTATACGGAACACAGCCTGGAGCAGGGGCAGTAATCGGAATTGGCGGCGGGCAGCCTGGCTACAGAGCTCAAACTGGAGCAGGAGGACAGCCCGGAATAGGAGGTGATCAGCTTGGATACGGAACTCAGCCTGGAGCAGGAAGGCAGCCTAGCCTAAGCGGTGGTCAGCCTGGAGCTGGATCACAACCCGGAGTTGGGGGTGGACAGCCTGGTTACGGAACTCAACCTGGAGCAGAAGTACAGCCTGGATTTGGCGGTGCTCAGCCTGCATACGGTACTCAGCCTGGAATTAGCGTAGGGCAGCCTGGAATTAGCATTGGTCAGCCTGGCTATGGTACCCAACCTGGAGCAGGAGAACAGCCAGGAATCGGAGGTGGTCAGCCTGGATACGGAACTCAAATTGGAGCAGGAAGGCAGCCTGGAATTGGCGGGAGTCAGCTTGGATATGGAACTTTGCCAGGAGTAGGGCAATCAGGAATTGGAGGTGGTCAGCCTGGATACGGATCACAGCCTGGAGTTGGAGGACAAATCGGAACTGGCGGACAGCCTGGCTATGGTGGTGGACTGGGAGTTGGTGGACAGCCTGAAATTGGCGGTGGATACGGAACGCAACCTGGTGCAGGAGGACAGCTCGGCATAGGAGATAGTCAGTCCCGCTATGCCACCCAACCAGGATTTAGGGGGCAACCTGGAGTTAGCGGTGGATACGGAACTCAGCCAGGCGCAGGAGGACAGCCCGGTATTGGAGGTAGTCAGCCGGGCTATGGTACGCAACCAGGAGTTTGGGGACAGCCTGGGATTGCCGGTGGATACGGAACACAGCCTGGTGCAGGAGGACAGCCCAGTATTGGAGGTAGTCAGCCGGGCTATGGTACGCAACCAGGAGTTGCGGGACGGCCTGGAATTGCCAGTGGATACGGAACACAACCTGGTACAGGAGGACAGCCCGGTATTGGAGGTAGTCAGCCGGACTATGGTACGCAACCAGGAGTTGGGGGACGGCCTGGAATTGCCGGTGGATACGGAACTCAGCCGGGAGCAGGACAGCCCGGTATTGGAGGTAGTCAGCCGGGCTATGGTACGCAACCAGGAGTTGGGGGACGGCCTGGAATTGCCGGTGGATACGGAACTCAGCCGGGAGAAGGAGGACAGCCCGGTATTGGAGGTAGTCAGCCAGGCTATGGTACGCAACCAGGAGTTGGAGGACAGCCTGGAATTGGCGGTGGATACGGAGCACACCCTGGTGCTAGAGGACAGCCCGGCATTGCAGGTAGTCAGCCCGACTATGTTACCTATCCAGGAATTAGTGGACAACCTGGAGTTAGCGGTGGATACGGAACTCAGCCGGGTGCAGGAGGACAGCCCGGTGTTGGAGGTAGTCAGCCGGCCTATGGTACGCAACCAGGAGTTGGGGGACAGCCTGGAGTTGTCGGTGGATACGGAACACAACCTGGTGCAGGAGGACAGCCTGGTATTGGAGGTAGTCAGCCAGGCTATGGTACGCAACCAGGAGTTGGGGGACAGCCTGGAATTGCCGGTGGATACGGAACACAACCTGGTGCAGGAGGACAGCCCGGTATTGGAGGTAGTCAGCCGGGCTTTGGTACGCAACCAGGAGTTGGGGGACAGCCTGGAATTGCCGGTGGATATGGAACACATCCTGGTTCAGGAGGACAGCCCGGTATTGGAGGTAGTCAGCCAGGCTATGGTACGCAACCGGGAGTTGGGGGACAGCCTGGAATTGCCGGTGGATACGGAACACAACCTGGTGCAGGAGGACAGCCCGGTATTGGAGGTAGTCAGCCGGGCTATGGTACGCAACCAGGAGTTGGGGGACAGCCTGGAATTGCCGGTGGATACGGAACTCAGCCGGGAGCAGGAGGACAGCCCGGTATTGGAGGTAGTCAGCCGGGCTATGGTACGCAACCAGGAATTGGGGGACAGCCTGGAATTGCCGGTGGACACGGAACACAACCTGGTGCAGGAGGGCAGCCCGGTATTGGAGGTAGTCAGCAAGGCTATGGTACGCAACCAGGAGTTGGGGGACAGCCTGGAATTGCCGGTGGATACGGTACTCAGCCGGGAGCAGGAGGACAGACAGAAATTCCCGGTGGTCAGCTTGGTTATGGAACTCAGCCTGGAACTACTGGAACGCAAATTGGCTACGGAATTCAGCCAGGCGTTGGAGGACAGTCTGGAGTTGTTGGTGGCCAAATTGGTGCTCCTGGACGTTACACAGATGCCGGAACGGGCTTAGGAGCGGTCATTGTACCTGGAGCTTCTGGCACGGGTGGTGTTGACGATGCCTTCTCGCAAGCTGAGTCTGCCATTGGCGACGGCCAAGCAACGGCCAGCGCCCAGGGCAAGAAGAATGGAGGTACTGCTAAGACGCAAGTGTCTGGGGCCTACAGCAAGGGCAGCTCTTTCAGCGCCAGCGCAATGACCTCTGACGCAGATCGAACTGCGAGCGCACAAGTGACAGGCAATGAAGATGGTGCAATGAGTCAGTCTCAGGGCTCTGGCGGTCCTTCCCAATCCCAAGCTCAAGTCCAACTTAATGGTAAGGATGGCGGCACTAAGGCTTCATCACAGAGCGGCGGTATCATACACCAGAGCCAGAGCGAAGTGCAGGCCAATGATAAAGGCGGCCTGGCTGATGCACAATCCAGCGGACCAGGTCAGACTTCATCGCAAGCACAAATCGGCTTCCGTCCTGGTCAGGATACTAGTTCAGCAGCTGCATCAGGCGGTGGTCAAGCGTCGGCACAGTCGGGCAGTCACTCAGGCCAGAGTCAGTCCCAAATACACGGCACATCCAGGTAAGACTAATCGAGTTGCGCATTTGCTTAACTAAATTCATATATATTGCCTTACAGCTTTGGCGTCTCATATCATGGTGCCGCACAATCTGCATCGGGAACCAAGGAACAGGTGGCCACGTATCGCGAACAGAACAGGGAGCTATTTAATACAATTAGTCAGTTTGGCAACACTGGAAACGCGTAAGTATTAAATCATTTTATCATATGAAGAAATAGCAATGCAAGTCAAATATTTATTGCCAGTGTTACCGATCGGGTTGACGCCGTCTTTAGCGGCCCAGCAATTGCTTCCGAATCTGAAGCAATACCAGAGATTCAGCTGAAGTCCTCAAAGACGAGCAAAGAGGTCAGTGACAAAGGTGAAAGCAATAAGCTGGGTCAACCACAACCCACAATTACCGATGATGAGGAAGCAGAGGATGACGAGGAACCGTATGATGAATATGACGAGGAGGATTACTACAACGAAAAGCCAGTAAAACTCGAAGAAAGTCCCTCATCTGCTAACCAGATCAAAAACCAAGAGCCTGGCGCAGCACCAGCACCTTTGTCTGAACCCGTAACCTTTGGGCAATCATCTCCCACTCAAAATCAGCAGGCGGTGGTAGCCAACCCGAACGCTGGCCAGTATAGAGTGGTGCAGAATCAAAACGGACGTGTTAATACATATCCAGTCCGCACCACCACCGAATCTGTGCCCAGTGGCTTTCGCGGCACGGTGAATGTGGAAAAGAAGTTTCACACAAAAGCACTGGAGCACAGCACTGCCAAGAAGGTGGACATCAGTGCCGAGGACGACGATGCTAAGATATCTGAAGAGGGCGCCCATAAGCCACGTGCACCAGACAGCTATGTGACAGTCACCAAGTCAGTGACTGGCAGCATGGACAATTCAAAGAACCCGCCACAGGAGAACAAGAACTTCCAGTCCACATACTATACGAAGTCGTCGACGTGCGGCTACTTTACCTTCTCCTGCAATATTGTCTACGGTGCGAATGGACGCAGTAAAATCTGCCGTCCCAAGGCGCCGTCAAATGGCAAGTGCTAAGGATGCCATCAGCAGTTCAATGGGGCTCAAATTGTAATCATCTATAGCTAACCACTAACCTGTTTGTATTTGACGCAGTTAAACATTTAAGTTTTTGCTAATAATTTAAGAGTCTTACTGCCATTTTATACTTCGTACACAAATTGAAATTGTAATTAATATTTAATAATAACCAACACACACTGCCGTGAAATGTTTGTCGAAAGACAAAAAAGTGTATTGTATATATTAAGATTTAATTTAGGGAAAAATAAGTTGCACTTAATTATCTGATACGATTGTTTCTGAAATTTTGAGTATTAGTGTTTGCTCCTCAAGAACTTACATTTTTAAATTAAGTTTTGCGGCATTATCAACACATCGGACGCAGTCGCACCGCAAGGAAATATCGATATTAACGAACTATCGTGGCGCAGATTGTATGCGACAGAAATATCGGCACTAAACATATTTACAACCACTAACCATACAATATACAGTATTTACCATACAATACTATATATTATATGGTTAATGGTACGAATGTTTACTTCTCAAAAAGTATCGTTTTTAAATTTAGCAATGCCAACATATCGAATATCGAATGTAGTCGCTCCGATATCGAACTATCGTGGCGACATATATGGCGACAAATATCGATACTAAAACACATGTGTGGCCTATCGGGCCGGCTTTTTGTTTTGCGTTGCCGAGCAACAAAATATCAAAAGTTCAGTTAATTTGTTGAATTCTTCCAAACAAATCGAAGCGACTGTCGACAAAAAACTAATTTTCCCCCGAAAGTGAATTTTAAAATCCTAAATCATGGGAGAAACTGAAAAAATTGAGGTGCGCGACATAACACGCATCGAGCGCATTGGCGCCCATTCGCATATACGCGGCCTTGGGCTGGATGATGTTCTGGAGGCACGTGCTGTATCCCAGGGCATGGTGGGTCAGAAGGATGCACGACGTGCCGCCGGAGTTGTAGTTCAAATGGTGCGCGAGGGAAAAATCGCTGGACGCTGTATTTTACTTGCAGGCGAGCCCAGTACCGGTAAGACAGCTATTGCAGTGGGCATGGCTCAGGCATTGGGCACTGAAACACCATTTACAAGCATGTCTGGATCGGAGATTTACTCTCTGGAGATGAGCAAAACAGAGGCGCTATCGCAAGCACTACGCAAAAGCATCGGTGTGCGTATCAAGGAAGAAACAGAGATTATAGAGGGCGAAGTGGTCGAAATTCAAATTGAACGCCCCGCAACGGGCACCGGACAAAAGGTGGGCAAAGTCACACTTAAAACGACCGAAATGGAAACCAACTACGATCTGGGCAACAAAATCATTGAATGTTTCATGAAAGAGAAGATTCAGGCCGGCGATGTCATAACCATAGACAAAGCCTCTGGCAAAGTGAACAAGCTGGGTCGCAGCTTTACACGCGCTCGCGACTACGATGCCACTGGAGCACAGACACGCTTTGTGCAGTGTCCCGAGGGGGAACTGCAGAAGCGCAAGGAAGTGGTGCACACAGTTACGCTCCACGAGATCGATGTGATCAACAGTCGCACTCATGGCTTTTTGGCTCTGTTTTCGGGAGATACTGGCGAAATCAAGCAGGAGGTACGTGATCAGATCAATAACAAGGTACTGGAGTGGCGTGAGGAGGGCAAAGCCGAAATTAATCCAGGCGTCCTGTTCATTGACGAAGTGCACATGCTGGACATAGAGTGCTTCTCATATCTCAATCGCGCCCTAGAGTCGGATATGGCACCAGTCGTAGTTATGGCCACCAATCGTGGAATAACTCGAATTCGCGGCACCAATTACCGCAGTCCACATGGCATACCCATCGATCTGCTGGATCGCATGATCATCATACGCACCGTTGCATACACTGAAAAGGAGGTAAAGGAGATACTCAAGATACGCTGCGAAGAGGAGGACTGCATCATGCATCCCGATGCTCTGACCATTCTAACACGCATCGCCACCGATACAAGTCTGCGCTATGCCATACAATTGATAACCACGGCCAATTTAGTTTGTCGTCGTCGCAAGGCAACCGAAGTGAACACGGAGGACGTTAAAAAGGTTTACTCTCTATTTCTGGATGAGAATCGCTCGAGTAAAATACTAAAGGAGTATCAGGATGATTACATGTTTAGCGAGATCAGTGAGCATGAGGAGGAAGCCGCAGCTGTTGCTGGTGGAGGGGCCAAACGCCGTTTAGACACTGGAGACGGCGATGCTCAGGCCATGGAGCATTAGTTTGTAATCGCCAGAAACTCGCACATTCTATCATCATTTACTGAATAACAGAAATAAATATGTTTACAAAAGCACTGTATCTTAAACGTGGAATGTTACTTTTTATTATGGTATACTTGGTTTATAGAGCACCATTCTCTTGCACATGTTGATGAAATTAAATAAATAAATAAATTAAAATGAGCGGAATTCAGACGGCCGACGGCCGAATATATTGAGACAAGCAGACATATTCTATCTTAATAAGGTGTGTCCTAGCCATATCCTTAAGGATTTGGCCGAGTTATGGCCGAAAATCAAATATTTGATCCATTTTTAGAAAAAATTGTGGCGTAATCTAATTTATTTGTTATTTTCCATTTTTCTGCCTTATCTGATATTATATATTTCTATTATATTTTGGCTAAATATTTGTTTAAACGAATTCCTAAGAAGGCAACTAAATAATATATAAGCAATTATCTAAATAATATATACATATTGGCCGCTCCTTCAATTTATCTTATCAGACTCCCCGCGTCAGGAGCTGCTAATAAAAAATGTTCATATAGACTGCTGATAAAATAACAGAGTGTTAAATTGCGAGTGACTTAAGCTGACGAAAAAACCGGCGCACAGAAAATTAGCAAACGATCAAAATTCGAGGGAGAACGATGCAACACTTGACTAGCATACACACCCACACAAACACGTGTATGCGCTGAGCTGCGCCAAAGCCAGAGATAAGCAGTCACCTGTTTGTGTGGGTGTTCGCTGTCATTTATCTACTTGCGCTCATCCACTCACGACTTTTTTGGTGGTGATCGCTGATTGGTCCAATCAATAACAGCTTGCATTGCCGTTCTCTGCTGGTCGCTTGCCTGCTCTATTTTCTGAGCGCCGATTTTATGGACCTGAGCGACTTTATTCTGTGTTAGTGTGGTTCCATTAGGCAATAGGGCATGTTGTTATGCTGCGTGTTACAGTGTGTTAAAGCTATTAATATTTTAGTACCGTCCTATTTTCGCATTATAAACCTTTTCGACTTGGTGATTTTTATATAATTGCGATATATATATATATATAAAAACTATATATAATATAATCTTTATATAATATGTAAAAAGTATATCCAAATTTAATCAGAATATCAATTTACTACAGGGGTGAAAATGACACAGATCTAATTTGCACGATCGCAAAAGGGAAAAAAAATTTGGCGCACTGGAAAAAAAGCAAATTTAGCCTGGGTAGAAAAATACGTGTAGATGTGGTGGATATACATACGTATGTACGTGCATATTTTGCGATTCTCTCTGCATACATATGTTTATGTGTTTGTTTTCGTTATTGGTATCTTCTTATTCTTGCTTTGAATGGCGCTCACTTTAGTTTATGGTTTGCTTTGCGCCGATTTTACTTCTCTTTGCGCCCACGCAATAAATTCTGTTTTAGTTAAACGCCTGCAGTCGAATCAAGCTGTTTAAACCGATTATAACTGAAAAATCTCAAGTATACGCCATCCGTATGGTACATGCTTTAACAATCGCGCAGATCAGGACAATTAATTAACATTATTATGACAACAATCAAACTTGCTGCTAAATTGGATTCGGCGTGGAACTGTAAATGTAAAGTGTAATGGCGATTTAAAAGATTATTACAATAATCAATTTGCGGAATCTGATCAATATAACTTATGTAGGGTAAAAAATAATTAATACTTCATTTTACAAATAGAACTCGTGAATATAGATCATGACAAGCACGTACATTCATATGTAAATATGTATACACACATTTCTACATATGTACATATGTATTATTTGTCAATTCCCTCTTTCTATTGCCTGTTGGGATGTGTGCATGTGTATATGCATGTGTGTTTTTGCTTATGCTCTACAAATGGATTTATTTTATGATCGTTTTATGCTTATTTTTATATGCGCCGTTTTATGTTCGCTTTGTGCATTCGCAAACAAACTCTGTACAAGTTTAACCCTAGTATTCAATTGCGCATTCTACAATTTGACCGAATTTAGTCCTCATATACCCGATTTATTGCCATTTAAAATATCAGATTTCAATGTCACGGGCCTGATAATAAAATGTAATAATATTTTGGATTGTATGGACCGGACTGCTAATTGGCACTCCAAACTTCTTATTAAAATTTAACTTTTTTGGGTGACAACGAATTGTGCAGAGTTTTCACACTGTGTTAATGTACAATTGACTATTTAAAGCGATAAGCGCATATGCACATTCCTACCTATTCCGTGATGCCTTCTGCATATACATACATATGTCTGTGTGTACCTATTTATAGATGTGTGTGTGTATTTTTGATTGTTTACACAAAACTAAGTTTCGCGAGGCAAAGGGCACAATTAGAGGTAATGCACAAGCACGCATATGCACATACTGTTGTACATTTTTGGCGATTCCCTCTCCATGTTGTCTATTTATGTATGTACATATATGTACGTGTGATGGCTTGACTGGCGTTCACTTCAGTTTTTGGTTTGCACCGATTTTCGTCCACTTTGCGTCTACGCATCATAATTCTGTTTTAGTTAAATGCCAGCAGCCGAGTAAAGCTGTTTAGAAATATTATTAGTGAAAATTCTCGGGTAAATACCGTCTGTATTTATAATGGTATACGTTTTCGGACTCGCACGGACTAAAAGTATTAATTGACATTTCAAAAAATCATATTTTAAAGTATAACAAGTATGGAATCAAAATTTTAAGAGTTCGGTTGATTTTAGAAATTCACAAATCCTAAAAGGATTATCATTATCCGAAGTCGGACTTAAATCAACCGATTTAACGCCATTCAAAGTTTCCCATAAAATAATACATTTTTCATTTCGGAAGATCATTTGTAAGAGTCCGATGAATCAGTAGATAATGCACTAGCACGCATATATACATACATACGTACGTACGTGCATATTTGCCCATTTTCACTGCAGACATATGTTTGGGTGTGTGTTTCGCAATTGATATCTACTTTTGCTTGTGTGTAACTGCTTTTCCGGTTTCTACCTTTGAATGGCGCTCACACTTATTTTTGTTGTCGGCTATCGGTCCAAAAAAGAATTTACATATGTACATATGTTGTGATCATTTTCTTCCTCTAATTTCTGTGCGCTGAGAAAAAGTGTGCTCGTATATATGTACATATGTATAAGGCAAAGCGGAAATACTTACATATGTATGTATTTTAAAAGCTTACAAAATTCTCATTAATTTTTTTTTTAATTTTTCAGACAAATCTGCAATGGACGTTGGTTATTTCATGTCATGGATATACCTTAAACAAGATCCTATTCTAAATTTTGACCAAAATGACAATAGTTACATCAACGTTTCCAATCTGAGTAAATTCTAAACTCAAGATCTTGTAGAGTTCTGAAGATTCTTAAGGCTTTCACGAATCCTTAAATATGTTTGTATGACTTTACAATGTATTTTAGTTTACAAAAACTGATTAATTTTTCATTCCGATCTTTCAGCCAAATCTGCCAAGCTTATGGACAATAAAATGTTCAGTATCGTTGGTATCTGGATGATATATTCTTGGCTATTCTATACAATGTCTAAACATTTTCATAAATGTAAAGATGTTGCCAATAATGGATCGGTGCTGAAATCTAAATTTGTAGAGTTCTGTCGATTTTAAAGGCTTGCCCGAACTCTAAAAGGTATGTCTTTCCAAAGTCTGTCGTAATTTAACCAATATATTTTATTTTACAAAAACTAAGTAATTTTTCATTCTGTCTTTTAGCCAAATCTTCAAAGCTTATGAAGTAATATATTCAGCTTCATCGGTACGTGGAGATTTCTATATCTAATTTAAAAAATGTAAAGTTGTTGCCATATCTGGATCGGTTCTGAAATCGAAATTTGTAGAGTTCTGTCAATTTTATAGGCCTTCATGAATCCTTTAAGGTATTTAATTGATATATTTTTATTTACAAAAACTAATAAATTTTTCATTTTGTAATTTTCAGCCTAAACCGAGCTCAAAAACTGTAACTGGAAGTAAAATTCTACGTTTTTGTTTAAACAAATTCCTAAGAAGGCAGCTATTAAATTAGCTAAATAATATATGCATAATACCCTTTTAGAATCCCCAAACTCAGAGTGTTAAATTGCGAGTGTCTTAAGCGGACGAAAAAACCGGCGCACAGAAAATTAGCAAGCGATCTAAATTCGAGTGAGAACAATGCGCCACTTGACTAGCATACACACCCACACAAACACGTGTATGCGCTGAGCTGCGCCAAAGCCAGAGATAAGCAGTCACCTGTTTGTGTGGGTGTTCGCTGTCATTTATCTACTTGCGCTCATGCACTCACGACTTTTTTGGTGCTGATCGTTGATTGGTCCAATCAATAACAGCTTGCATTGCCGTTCTCTGCTGGTCGCTTGCCTGCTCTATTTTCTGAGCGCCTTTTTTTTGGTCCCCTTTGGTTAGTGTGGCCCTATTAGTCAATATGGCATGTTGTTATGCTGCGAACGATGGTCTATTTAGCCTATTATTATGTTAGTAAGGGCAATTACCGCCCTTTCTTTATTAATATACGTTTTTGAACTCGTACAGATTAAAACTATTAATTGATTTGTTTTTATGTAATATAACATAAAAAACTGTATATATTTGTATAAATGGACATGTCTTGTTTTGAGCAATTAGCAGCCTGCACTAATAGTCATATACATACTTATATGCATGTACATTTTGATTATCTCTGCAAGCATATGTTTGGGTGTGTTTTCGCAATTGATATCTTATTATGCTTGTATGTAATTGCTTATGCGTTATCTACCTTTGAATAGTGCTTACTATTTTGACAAAAACGTTTATTTAACCCTTTGATTTTTAATTTGCTTGAACGCCAAACGTTAGTAGAAATCGGTCGTGATATAATGGACATATTTTAAATTAACCAATTTTTCATTTTGTATTTTTCAGTCAAATCTGCCACACCAATGGACAACATATAATCAGCAAATGATCGCTATTCATGGTACCTAGTTGACCTCTATATCCTTGGTTATTCCATACCATGGAAATAGTCCTAGCGAACCTAAAGGACCGAGTTCTAGCAAATATGCAAGAACTAGGTCCAAAAATATGTATGCTTCTTTTTACAGGGACCCCCATCAACAGCCCCGCCCCCTGTATGGTTTCTAGTTGACTAGCATATCCTTGGTTATACCGTACCATCGATATAGTCCTTGGAAACCTAAAGGATCAGATCCCTGCAAAATGTGCATTGAAATGTTCCAAAAACATGCATGCTTTTTCTTTCAGGAGCCCTTTTACGTTAGCTGCAGCTGCAGCTGTTGTTTAACAGCCGCCTTACAGCACTCATTTTACATGATCTGTTACTTAACACTACTCATTTTAATTGAGTTACATTTCTGAAAATTTTTCTCCGAAGAACTCGTCGACCTTCTAGGCATTTATGTTCGCCTGGTACTTGAGCGGAATTTAGGGCAAATTTGGTACCGGCGGTGAGGGTGCCCCTTTTTACTACGTCACTTTTCGGCCGCAAAAATATTATTTGTCGACCTTCTGGGCATTTATGTTCGCCTGGTATTTTTGGGAAATTTTAGTAAAAATTTGGCACCCAGCCGGCGACCGGGGCGCCCCTTTTGGGTATGCAATGAAATTTTTCGGCAGCTAAAAAATATTTTTTGTCGACCTTCTGGGCGCTTCTGTTCGCCTGGTATTTTGGCAGATTTTAAGAAAAATCTCGGCAGCCAGCGGTTGCCAACAGACCACCCCTGCGGGTATGCAATGGATTTCTAAAAACAGTTAATTTTTGAATTTATAAATAAAAAAACAGGATTTTCATTTTAAATAATGCATTTATTTTTGTTTAAATTTATAAAATAATTTTTTTATGCTTATTTTCTTAATTATTTCTCTTAAAGGTGTACAAAACGAGCATAAATTAGAATTTTAGCTTAGTTGTTCTTAATTAAAGTCCGATCCTGGAAAAATTTGCTTTGTCCCTCGAGGAGATCCTTGGAATTCATTGCAGTCCTTAATTTGTCAATCTGAAATGATAAAAACACAGTTAAATTAAACAAGGCAAAAATTTATAACTGCAGTTTATGTAACGAAAAAAGGACATAACTCGGCCATATCCTTGCAGATTTTCAAAGGACATGGTGCGTTAGGATCGTATAGACTCACTGCATCGATCTGCATCAAAAAATTATGGGGTCATCTAAGAATCATATGACTCGAAATTTGACTTGTGAAATTTCAGTCGCGGAGCTCACGAAAATGGTCCGAATACACAAATCCTTGAATATCTCCAAAACTACAAGGACGATCTTAATGAATTTTGGCCAGTTGGTAGTCCTGGTCAATACAATTATTTTGACACATGACTCGCCAGGACACGCAAGGATTTGGTCGAGTTATGGCTTATTTTCTTCAAACAAAATCGTCCTTTAAAATCTTTTATCTGAAGGACTTTCGTCCTTTTGGTTGCAAATTCTTAAATGGGAGGGCGAGGACTATCTGCTGGCCAAAGGACATCCCGATAGTCCTTTAAATGGCCAAGTTAGCCCGGATATTTTCGATTTTGGCCATTTTTGTGACTAGGAAAAATTTAGGTGAAATTTTTGTTGAATCCTTAAAATCCTAGAATGCCAATCGATAGTCCTGCTCCCCACGAGTTCAAAAAAGCATATCCTTCCGATATCCTTAAGGATTTGGCCGAGTTATGACCATTTAAAAAATGTCCTTTTTAGAAAATTGGCCATATTTCGGAAACGACAAGGACGATTCTGTTGTCCTTTGGCCAGTTTATTGTCCTTGTTCATATGAGTTAGATGACACAGGACATGTCGAGATCCGCAAGGATACGGCCGAGTTATGGCTTTCTTAATTTACAAAAAAATTGTACTCATATCTAGGCTGTCTGAAGGACTTTCGTCCTTTTCATTATATTTTCGGAATCAGGAGGATGAGGACTATCGGTTGGCCAAATGACATCATGATCCGCAAGGATACGACCAATCTACAGTCTTCTTTCTTTACAAGCAAATACCTATTTTTCTCAGCTCATTCAAGGATTTTCGTCCTTTCTATTACAAACTCTTAGTTGGCAAGGCAAGGACTGCATGACGGCCAAAGGACATCAGGATTGTGCTTGAAATGGATAATTTATGGCCGATTCCGTTATAAATATATGGCCAAGGACTATTTCGTTGCCTTCTAGCTATTTAGTACCTTTGGTCTATACGAATCACTTAATACAGGACTCGTCTGGGTCGAAGATCAGTATAGTTCTTGAAGTGGCCATTATTGGAGCCCAATTTTTTTTGATTTGTGAAAAAGATAAAAATGTCCTTGGCCAAATACTAGCGCTATTAATACAAGTCAGTTGACAGTTTGTGATCCGCACGAATGCGACCGACTTACAATAATGGCCTTTTATCTTGGGTTGGAAAACCAATGAGACTCTGAAGTGACTTACCTAGCTGTGAATCCAACAATCGGAAGGGTATGACAGCATCTACGCCGGAAGCTGCCAATACCATCGAGCCCATGGCAATAGCAGGCGCGAGAGAAAAAGAGCAAACAGTCTGCTTCAGGCTGCACAATAGAATTACGATCACGTAATTACGAGAAGATAATTGGAAGACGTACAACAGATGCGCCCAGATTAAGCAGCTACAAAACATCCGACATTAAATTAGCAATGCTGTTGGCCCAAAATCACCTGAAATTATTGAATATTGTAACATGAACAGAAATACTAAGCTTATGCTCTTACCTTGTATCACAACGCGCAACCTGATGTGATGCTATTTCAGTCTATGTTTATGATATCTGTTTTTAAGCGATCACGTAATTACACGGAGATAATTGGAAGACGTGCACCAAATGAGATCAGATGAAGTTGCTAGAAAATATCCGTCATCAAATTAGCAATGCTGTTGTCCCAAAATCACCTTAAATTATTGGACAATATTATATAAACAGAAAGACATTAAGCTTTTACTCTTACATTAAATCATAGTGAGCAGCCTGATGTGGACCTATTCCAGTCAACGTTAAAGATATCGGTTTTCCATCCATTTGGGATTTGTAATGCGCAAACGTTCTCTTAATCCACACAGCTGCCTTGCAAATGTATCCAACACATTCAAATTATTAAGTTACCTAACATTTTTGAATGCAAATCGATGGTCCTCAATCCTGGGAGTTCCACAAGGTGTGTATTTGCCAGATCTTTAAGGATTTGGCCGAGTTGTGGCTAATAATTGAATTTACTTTGTGGAAAAATAGCTCTACCTCGGCCATATCCTTGCGGATTTTTAGAAGACATGGTGTGTAAATAGCCTGAAAACACAAAATCCTTAATATCATTATTTATTATTAGTCGAGGTCAATACTTTGCGGTGATGTAAAAGTTAGCGAATCTATTCTTTAAGTCTTTATGATTATACAGTATTTACAGGGATATATAAATATCATAGTTTTTAATTTTTAACTATCCAATTTCTTTGCTTTAATTTTATTTAAAGTTGCTCTTTTCATTTGCAGTTCTTGACATTTCGTGAATATATCAAAATATATTATGAATTTACTTAAGTAGGGCATAAAATTGTCGATTAAGTTAGATAAGTCTCGACGCCGTTAAGCATTTTATGTACAAAGAGCAACGAAACTGTTTTCATTGACTAGACATTGCTTTAATGATGAATGCAACGGCAAAGGATTCAAAAGATGTGACAAGCTAACAATCAACGCTCTCATAGTTAGGCTTACATTTTTTACATTCGATACAAAGTTAAATATTATTAATCGGTAGCGTATTTTGGTTACGGCTTTGTGTCAATGTTAAAGGAAACAAATCAAATTGTTTAAAAAATTTTTCAAAATGTTTATACGCTGATTCACTAATCTGTGGCTTGTTTTATAGTTGTTGTTGGCCCTGCTTGCCGATCCTTGGGCTGGATGCGGAGATAGTAACGATAGCCATTATACATGACCGCCCAGATGAGTATATATATGAACCCAAAATAGTTGACTGCACTATACACGGTAATCCAGCGTTCGTATTTGAGAAAAGCAAACGAGGTGAGACACCAGCCCATGTAGACGATATTGTACGATTTTAAGCACAAGAAACTGAGTACAGTATAGATCTGGGAATCGTTCAACATTTCACCATATTTGGGCAGCACGTGTTTGGTATAAACAAATTCAATCTGTAAATATTATCGCATATAAATATAAATCATACTAACCCAACTCCCCCTGAGACTCACCTGCTTTTCAGTGCTGACAATCATGTACTCCATTAGGAATGCCATGTAATAGCCACTGTGATAACCATGCCATACAGCCAAAAAACCTAATGCAGCCGCGTAGCTGATATTGCGATTGTTAAGGAACTTCAGGCGCTTGAATATATAGTGACCGACCCATTGATTAGTGTTTACATTGAAGCTCTGCACATAGTGCTGCATGGTGTTTCCAGCCTCAAGTAGCGACAGCTTTACATTGCTGCAGCCGGACCAGTCCGGATTTCCAAACGCATCTTTTCCCATGTAGGTAAATCCAATGCACATTAGACCGCCCTCTGCAAACAGCCAACACGATATGTACTTATAAAGTGTGAATTTGGCCCAGAATCCCAAAAAGTAAATGCGCTTGATGAAGGACTGCGCCGCAAATTCCGGCGACAAGAAATAGCTATCCGGCAGAAAGTATAAGCCAACTTGGCATACAAAAAGATAGAGGACACCGACACCCAGGCGATTAAGACCCGCCTGTACACAACCATCGTATTTCCGATACTCGCCATTGGTGAAACTCTGATATCGTCTGTAGGGAAACTGAGGTCCAACCAGAAAACTACTGGGAAAATATGCAAAGGCCAAAAGCTGGATGTATGAAGGTGGCTTCTGCAAAGCCGTTTCCTTTTGTGCTTTCGAAAGCGCCTCTTCCGGCTTCAAGCCATCGGCCACATCGAATCCAAATCCAATCATGCGCAGGGTCAATATGCAATGCGGCATCGTCCACAATATATCATACTCATTGCTGGCCGTATAGTAGTAGCCCACCAGCAAGTAGATCATATGAAACATAAAATTGAGTACCAGCAGAAGAAGAGGTGCGCTGCGCAGCAGGGTAACCAGCACATAGGTGACGGTTATGGCCAAAAGTGAGTGATATGTTTCCTTGCCATAGTTGTAATAACATAAGCTCATGCCGCAGAATGCAAAAAACAGATGATGCAACAGCTTCACCTGTATATTAACAATCAGTTTATGATAAATCGCCGCAATTGGATAGCCTGCGGGATAAAACTGATTATTTGGGAGCGTATTCATTTTATTTATAAAATATGTTTACCGGCCAGCAGCGTCACCAGCAGTCGAAAAGCCTCCACGGGCACGGCAACCTTTTTGGCCAGCACCTCCGACGGGTCCATAACGGGTTGGTGATGCTGATGGTGTTGCTGCAACGGAGCAAGAGATGCCTTATCAGTAAATGTACTGTATAGTTTGCTTGTGCTTCGGTTCAATGTGAAATGATTAACGCACGCTTATCATGATCACTAAGAGGGGTAAAACAAGCAGTCAATTTGTTGCTCTTAATCAGCATGATTACGCATTAGCACAGCACACTGCCCAGTGACGCGAATCACGGTCAATGTCATTGCAGAAGTTCCACTGGATGACGCCGAAATTCATGTCTGCTAAGAAACAGATATGCAGGCTACACTGTTACTATGTGATCAGGTTAATATTCTAAGTGTGTTTATTGAGTAGGGCACAAAGGTTTATTAAAGCAATTAAAGTGTAAATTACTACCTTGGGAACTCTATTGTTGGCGTTACCTAATTAGAATTAGAGTTAGAGTACAGGTAATTTACACAATGCCAGGTATATACATTAAGTTTGATTTAAAAGTCAACCAATCCAATGACTGAATTTTCGCCGGAATTTAACACTTCACATAATTTAGAAAATAGCTTAAAAGTTGCTATGGCAAACGGATTTAATAAAGCAAACACGCCGTTCGTTATGGCTTCACAGCTGTTTGTCGATATTACTAGTTCGATTAAAATATTTTGTTCACTCACAATATCTAGTTCACTCACAATATCAGAAAGTTCACAATGGGTCTTATAAAAAGATGCGGATGTATAAGACAGTATGCTGGATTCAGTCTCTAATGACATATATAAGTATAGGCACTGAATCATATAATATTCATTTACACTTTAATTAAAATTTGAACGATAAAATATAATTATTACTATGAAACTTAAATTGTGTGTCATACCCACACAGTTCCGTTCATTAAAACTGGGATCGAGCTGGTTCGGAACTAAAGTGGACTACTCTGATAAACATTACATTAAACAAATTGACTATTGCACAGACCTTCATTTTGTCGATTAATTAATTTTAAAGTAAACTTTATAGTTAACCTACTGAATGAATCACAGGTCACACCGATTGAACTACTCACGAATAACAGCGAACGCAGCAGCTGTTTTGCCTCTGAGTATGAAATTCCCTGTTTGGTTTACGTGTCACAACTTAATTATTGGCTTTCCCGTAGTATTACAGGTAAATTGATGCAAAACTGGCACACACGGGCAGCAGCAGCAGTGGCAGCAGCATGCGACGCAACAATTATCCATACCAGCCCCTAAATCAGCATCCTGCTCCCAGTGGCCCAGCTGGACACGATGCATTGGAGGCCGAAAACGAGCGCGCCGCCGAGGAACTGCAACAAAAAATAGGCGCACTCAAATCCCTGACCATAGACATTGGCAATGAGGTGCGCTATCAGGACAAGCTACTGCGCGGCATTGACGATGACATGGATCGGACAGGTGGATTTTTGGGCAACACAATGACACGCGTCGTACGTCTGGCCAAGCAGGGCGGCGGCTCCAAGCAAATGTGTTACATGTTCCTCTTTGTCATGTTCGTTTTTGTGCTGCTGTGGCTCACGCTGAAGTTCAAATAGTCTGGCCGTGTTTTATTTTTTAAATATATTTTTAAATAACTATAAAATTGTGGTCAATCTTGAATCGGGAATCCTTATATATTACAATATATAAGCTAATTCATAATTGTGCTTCAGCTCTTTAACATATCGCGCATAACAATTTACAATTTGTCTTATTTCTGTTATCCAACAGCATAAATGTAAGCACTTAATGGACCTCATCAACCAAATTTACAGAAGAGTTGTATTTTTACTTATAAAAATGTTTAGATACTTACAAACTTTTATTTGGTTAGAGTACAAAACAGCATACACACACTCGCAGACACACTTTAAGGTATAGATGGGCACAACTTTGGACTTATGTTGTAATGATTTTGATGCCCTCGCATTGGAGTTTTGTTTTGATTGATTCGTTTACGATGCTAGCGTAAACATTACACATTGCCTGTTAGCTCTTTAGGGGCTATGCATGAAATGTCTTCATTTTTTTACTACGCCGACTGAAGTCAGCCTGTTCCAAGGCGTCCTCCACATCGCTACTTAGATCGTCGCCACTTAAGAAATCTGTTCCATTTGACGTGCTTCCCTCCAGGCGACGAACTGCGATAAGCAAGCAAGTAATCAAGCTAAGCATTTATATGTGTATGTGGGTATTTTCTATTTGTTCTTACTTTGTTCATCCAGAATGCTGTTCTGCTTCTTAATTTCCTCGATGTCCTTTTGGTTCTCACTTATTTTGCGGCGCAGCGTTTGAATGCATTCAGTGGTTTTCTTGAGTATCTGTGCGCGACTGGCCTTTAGTGATAAATGGCGAAATCAGTAAATTTTATAACATGAGTTTTTTAGGGACATGGATATGGTACGGTCCTGATATGGCAGGCATTTTATGATAAGAAATATTCATTCAGCAAACATAAATATTCCTACTATTTAGCAAAAATTTAAATATTGAGCAGGTACCGATTCATAACTCAGAATTTACCTAGGTAGGTCAGCTTTTAATCAGAGATTCTATTTTAATAATTGTTGTTATTCTTAAATGCTGAGCTGGTATCGATTCGTATCTCTGAATTTACCCAGATCAGCCTATAGCCTACTTTAGTCTGGTTAGTCATGAGATCCTATTCTCCTTGTAATAAAGCCATATCGGGCCAACATCGGACAACTTACCATATAAATCCATAAAAAGAATAGGTCTCCTTACTTATGCCCCCTATTCTTCTTTTTAGTAGGAGTTCCTTGCTATTTGTAAATATACTAATGCTCACCTTTTCACCCTTTAACGTAGGCACCGCTTCGCGCAAATTGGTAAAACTCTCTTTGATGTGATCTCGTCGACGGCGCTCCAAAGCGTTGTGGTGTGCTCGTTTTTCGGCCTTGAAATAATAAAAACAAACAAAATTCACAGTCTTGCAAGTCAGGCAGCAAGCACAGCAACAACAATGGGAGCATGTGTCTGTTTATAAACAATGACAGCGTGGGTCTCTGTTATTATTATTGCCCTCCTATTCTGTGGCTTGCTCACCTGCGTAAAATTTGCGGTACTTGTATGCCGCGAGGAGCCCAGGCCATTATCAGAGTCACCATCGTCCTGCAAGGAAATATGCGATATTATTTATGACGTCAATTGCGTATCGCGGTTGTGCTTACGTCACTCTCGATGTCAATATCTCTGTCGTCATCGCTCATACTCATTTTGTCAGTTCTTGTTCACGTTACTTCAAGTAAAACAATTTATTATAAAGCACTCTGTGGGCGTCACGCGGGTTTGTTGATATTTTATCCTAGCGTCTCTCTGGTCGCGTGCTATTTATTTTGTTTGCCAGCGCACGTTTTGGATACCGTTCAGTGTGACAGCAATCGGTAAACACCAAAATACACAACATCTTTATCCAAATACTATATGTTTATGTATTACAAATAATTCTGCTCAAATATTATTTTCGAGCGAATCACGAAACATACTACAATATTCAATGAGTTTTACATCAATAATGTCTATGGACATGTATATAATTTATCTTAAATAATAAAATATAAAATTACATCGAAGAATAGTCATGATGAAACATCGCTTTGGTATTTAAATACCGACAAGTGTTAGATGAATGAACTAATTCAATAGTTCCGTTTAATAAATCGTTCGTTGGAACCAATTCCGAACGATTTGATACAGGTTTAATGCATACAAATAAAAACAGAAACGCGTGTTCCAGCGTTTTAACAGTTTAATTTCGTTTTATTTAGTTATTACAACAAAATCTCGCCTATTTTTGATGGCTTTTCCCACATCAAGTGCACAGCAAGCCGAAACCAACCGTAAAATACTTGAGGAAATACAGACCAAGAAGCAGTTGCTCATTGGGCTGGGTAGCACAACGAATCAGGTGAATGTAAATTATAGAAGCATTGTCTTTGAATCTGCTTAACGTTTTTTTTTTGATTTGCCTTTAAGATGCCCGCACCGCAGCTGCTTGGCCAGCCGACAGTGACAGTAGAATTTCCGCAGAGCGTAAGCGTTACGCCTAATGCCGCTGGCGGCCTCGGCGCGCCACGATCTGCATTTAATCCAACGAGCTCTACTACTCTGGGCTTCTTTATACCGCAGGATTCGTATTTTGGAAATAGTTTTATACCCGTGCTGCCACGCCTGGAGCCACTGCCGACACCGGCAGCGCCCAACGCCAAGTAATTTCTTAGCACAGTACACACGTCCCTCCATATGGCTCGCCTAAAGCTGAAGAAGCTGGAGGAGTATTTGCAGTGTGTCGATGGCTTTGAGCAGCCAAAGATTCTGCTGGAACAGTATCCAACACCACCCCACATAGCTGCATGCATGACGCATCACATGCAAGCGCAGCACGACGACATTGAGGGAAAGCTTGTGGCTGATCTGGGATGTGGTTGCGGTATGCTCAGCATTGCCGCCACATTACTTGGAGCGCAGCTTACTGTTGGCTTCGAACTCGACGACGCTGCCGTGGACATTTACCGCCAGAATGTGCTGGACATGGAGCTGCCCAATGCAGATTGTGTGCGTGCGAATGTGCTGCAATTGCCGGGCAGTAAGTGGGATAATGCCTTCGACACGGTGGTTATGAATCCGCCCTTTGGCACCAAACATAATGCTGGCATGGATATGCGGTTTTTGGATGTGGGCATGCGTCTGGCCACAGGAGCTGTCTACTCGCTGCACAAAACGTCCACACGGTGAGTGGCAGCTGCAATAGTCTTAGAAATAATATGCTCTGACTAAGTACCTGGAAAGGGAGAGAGCAATGTGAATGTTATGCTATTGACTATAGGCTGTAAATTGAAAATTTGTACTTTATTTATTGACGTTAATGGTGCTATCAGAACAGAATTCAAGTCGGAACTGTATATCATCAACTAATTACAGTTTATATGCGCGGGCAGTTAAATTAGACGGAACATTGAGGAAATTCTCAGTTATTTCTACAGACAATATAAGCTTTTCTATATTATGTAGTTTTATATGTCATCTACAAAATAAAAAAGAAATCTTTTTCTCAACTCTCTTATAAGAAGCAAAACTGTGTTATCGATCTGTTAGCAAGATTGTTAAGCATATGCTATTGGAGAAAGTGAGCCTCATATATATACTAGTATCCGGGTAGGAAATTATTTAGAAATTTTTCAGCTCAGGAATGAGAAGCACAACAATCTTATCGATCTGTTAGCAAGTTTCTGAAGCTATTGAGAAAAGTCAGTATTAATAAGCCTTAAATGAACATATTCGCTATTATCTATAATTAAAATTGTGTTTATATTTATTTTTGCAGCACTTACATCCAAAAGAAATCCAAAGAGTGGGGCGCTCGGAGTAGCGTAATTGCTGAATTGCGTTATAACATCGAAGCCAGCTACAAGTTCCACAAGCAGAAGTCCAAGGATATTGAGGTTGACTTTTGGCGCTTTGATGTCAGCGAACTGTGACACAGCTCAACACAGCAAGAAACATTTAGTTAAGATTACAAATGAAATGCATTTTTTTTTGACATTTTTATAATACAATTAACACTAAAAAAACAAGATTAGCAAAATATAACCGAATTCCATGCAAACGTTTTCTTTTCACTCTACGTTAAAGACAACGCCCTGAGCACAGGCCAGTTCGCCCGAGTGATTCACCGTGATGGTAGCACGCTTGCAGTACTGTTTCCAGGCATCTGATCCCGATTCGCGACCACCGCCCGTAGCCTTCTCGCCGCCAAAGGCGCCTCCAATTTCAGCGCCGTTTGTGGTGGTGTTAATATTAACGATGCCACAATCGGAGCCCTGGGCACCAATCCATTTGAAGGCCTGGCTAATATTCTCCGTGAATATGGCCGAGGACAGGCCCTGCTCCACCTCATTGTTCCAGGCAATGGCCTCGTTCACATCGCGCGCTTTGAGCACATAGACAATGGGAGCAAATGTTTCACGATGCACAACGCTTGCATCATGGGACAGTCCAGTGATAATGGTGGGCTCGACATAATGCCCAGCACGCTCCAAAACACGTCCACCAAAGGCTACAGTGCCGCCCAGCAGCTTCGCCTCCTCGATGGTCGCTTTATAGCTGTCGACATTCTGTTGTGTGTGCACGGGTCCCACAAGTGTTTGCGCCTCCAGCTGGTGGCCAATGCGTGGCAGTAGCTGCGCATACTTGACAGTCAAAGCCTCCACAAAGCTATCGTGCAGTTTCTCGTGGACAATGATGCGCCTTGTGGTGGTGCAGCGCTGTCCGGTGGTGCCAATGCAACCAAAGAGCGCCGCATCTAAGGCCATTTTAATATTGGCCGACTCGTCAACAATTAACGCGTTATTGCCGCCCAACTCCAATATGACCTTGCCGAAACGACGCTGCACCTCCACGCCAACATCGCGGCCCGTCTGGCAGCTGCCCGTGAAGCTCAGCAGATTGACGCGTTTATCGGCGACGAGAGCAGCACCCACATCTGTGCCACCTTGGCAGAGGCTGACCACCGCCGGCAAATTGTTGCGTCGCAACACCTCGGCGACAATTTTGGTGGTAGCCACGGAGACGAGGGGGGTGCTGGGCGCGCCCTTCCATAGCACGCTGTTGCCTGTTGTCAATGCAATGGCTGCATTCCAGCCAAAGACGGCATTGGGAAAATTATAGGCCGATATAACGCCCACTAGGCCCAGCGGACGCCATGCCTCTAATATGGTGTGCTGGGCACGCTCCGAATTGATTACCTGGCCGGCATAGATGCGTGAGAGACCCACGGCATAGTCGCAAATGTCAATGAACTCCTGTACCTCGCCCTGACCCTCACTGTAGATCTTGCCCACCTCCAGAGAGACAAGCTTGCCCAGCGGCTCCTTGTATTTGCGTAGCTCGTCGCCAATTTGACGCACAATCTCACCACGCACGGGTGCTGGCACCTGGCGCCATTGCTTGTAGGCCTCGACGGTCAGTCCAATTGCTTGCTGCAGCTCCTGTACGTTACCCTGACGCACTGTGGCAATGGCCTGACCGGTGCCAGGATCGTAGCTGGTGATGGTCGGTCCTCGACCCTGCCAGTGGCCAGAAAACACGCCGGGATTATCACGTTCCAGACCCAGATCCTTAAGAAAACTGTACTCCGGCTGATCAATCAAAAAAGAGGCACTGCGCAGCTGCTGCTGTTGTCCCGACAATAGCCTGCCACGCTGGGCTGGCAACCGTCTCGTCAAATGTCTCAAATGTGCGATCATGCTGCCTCAAAAAAACAAAAAGAGCCAATGAGATTTATGGATTACTGATACGCCTGATACGCGCTCCGTATCGCCCCGATAAGCGTTGACTTGTTACTGCTTTATGGGCGTCGGATGTGTACTGGAAAATTCCGAGTGCGCCCCCAGCGACGAGGTCTGCTGCTGATTAGCACTGCATCCCAGGCAGGGAGAACCTAAATTAAATGCCACTCACTTTTGTAGTCCACTTAGGTCCGCTGCTTGCCGATGTGCTCCCTGCACCGCTCAGTTATCAACTGAGGCGCTGGAAAGTCCGAGCCAAAGGCAGCAGCAACAGCGGCAGCTTATCGCATATTAAATGAGAAATAATTATACATATACGAGCATACGGAGAGCGAAAGTTGGGCATTATCTATAGGTCTCTCTAAACGACAGTTACACCTTTTAAAATGGAATCTTATAGTAAAGATTAGGTTAAACAATAAACATCTATTATTGAAATGCTAAAGATAAAGCCTTGCTGTCAAAATGTATTGTACTCAGCTAAAATTTGTTTAAAACTACAAAAAATATTGTTAGATTGAAACGTTGGCAGCGCTATTCGAACTAATTCAGAACTCAGAACAACGCATAAAATATATACATACATACAAACTACATACATACATGATAATATAAAGTTTATTAGAATGCCAGCACTAATTGTTAATATAGAACTTATATCAGACCATGAAATCTGTATTGGGAATCGCATCGCAGGGCGCTTTTTTTTTAAACAAATTTTAATTTTAATTTGCAAAGAGTAAGAAAATAAGAGAACGTTTACAACAAGGCTGCCAGACAAGCCGGTTCGAATCTAAAACTCCGAGTTACCATAGACCAAGGAATTAATACTAATAGCAAACCAATTCGCCTAAGCACAGCCAATCAAAGTCTGAATCGAACCATATCTTTCAAAAATAATTTGTCTTAGCATGAAAAACTTTTGAGGATGAGACCCCAAAGCAGAAATAACATTGGCCCTACCATTGGATTAATCTTGCCATATGTGGTAGACGCCAATTTTGGGCATAGCTAAAATTTAGCCCGATACTTCAATATGAAAATATCCATAGCTTAAAATATTTTCAGTAGAATGGGCAACTAATTGACAATCATTTCATCAAAATATGAAAATATATAGCTAGCTAAGGCTCTAATAAAAATCTGGGATCAAGGATATTTCAAACTTAGTTTGCGATCCCAACCTAAAGGCAGGTTATGCCGAAATCACCGACATACATTCATAAAAATGTAAGGTTTAGTAGATTGCCGCTAAGAAAAGACTCGTTCGTCTTTTAAATATATATATAATATATCATATAATATAATAATGAAATGACCTATTAATTTACCTACACAGGTCGTAAGATCCGAAATTTTAAATGTATGCTCCTTGCTGATCCCATTTTAGATAACTGCAAAAAACATTTTAGAGTTTTACTGTCAAGCTTTATCATCCATCATGAATTTTGTTGGTTGTCCTGGCAACATTTGAAAATAAGTTAGCTGTTTGTTCGATAGCGAATAATTTTGGCCAATCAGTGTTGCAGTTGCAGCTGAAAGGATTAGGTAAAAAAAGAAGAAAATGGAGGTGCTCGAGGAGGGAAATTTAATGGACCGTGTGCCCATTTTGCTGCAGCGAGATTTGGAGTTTTATCAGGTGCCGAAAATAACCGCAATGCGAGCTCTGAGAAAAAACTAGTTAACACATTGTTTTCACGTTCTCATTTCGATTTGATTCACATGCCACATGCCCCACACGAGCAGACGCATCAGCGCGTGCTGCAGGAGCCCATTTGTCCGGGCGTTGTGGGTGGCAAACTGGACTTTCCACGCTATGCATCGTTTGCTTCCATAAAACTAATACGCTGGTAGGCTGTGCCCTCAAAAGGGACACATTTGTTTTGGTGTTTTGGTGTTGACCAAATTTAGTTTCCTTCAGGTGGGAGGATGAGTACTTTGCTTCCTATCGCAAGCATTCGGGCTTACTGCACACCGAAAAGGAGCTGAACGAGGGCGATTTCGTAAGTGTAAACTTGGAAATGTTTGGGAGGTAGTCCTAACCTGTTTCTAATAATATGCGATGCAGAGCAGCGTTACGGTTAAGACCTCCGATCCAGATAAGTTTGTCGGTTTGGTAACTAAATCAGCGGATCTTCTACTGGAGCACATACATCGCCTGTCGCAGGAGTCACTGGATCATGCGGATCTCTCGGTGCTCACCGCCACCATTGGCGCCGCCGCATTGGTCAAGAACTCGTTAAGCGTCTATATGCAGGCAGCCACGACCACAATATGCCCACCCAAGGGCGATGAGAAGGGTGGCGCCCTGAAGCTAAGTCTAAAGCAATATTCCCAGATGTCCGAGGCATTGGCTGAACGTCTTCTGGATCTGCACTGCCGCCTGCTGCTGTTGTATATCATTCAGGATGCGGACTGCCTGCATTGGGAGGACACTCAGCCGTTCTTTGAATCGGAACGCGGCTCGTATACGGTGCAAATGTGGTGGCATTATATGCGCGGTACCAAAACCGATCTCTGGAACTCTGTGCCGCCAAAAATGGCACAGAAAATCTTTGCCGGAATGCTTAATGAGACGCTCAGTGTATTGACGGTGCGCTACACGCAGATTGTGACCAGCGTGGCCCGAGCCCAACTGCATCTGGTGGACATATGCAACATGCTGCTGTGCATTGCCGAGTTGTTGCCCCATGTCTGTGACAGTGGCGAGGCCTATGTTGGCCTCCAGTTGAGCAATCAGAGTGTCATCGTGCGGGACATTCATGCCAAATGCAGGGAGCTCTTCTACTGCCTGTTACTCCGTGGTGCGCCCTTGGGTGTCCTTTCTAAGGTGGGTTACCTATGTATTAGCATCTTCTTCATCTCGCTACTTTATATCCCGCGACAGGTCTTTCGCAAAGGCCTGGATAACATGGAAATGTTTAGCTCGCGTCATGGTCTGCCCAGCGCTTGGATTATTTTCGCGCTGCCGCGATACTTTCCCAAGGAGCAATCCTGCCAGTGGGTAGCCGAGTTTGCTGATCTTACCACGAACACAGCCATATCATTGGATCTGCGCGTGCTGCTGGCCTTTCCGGAGGCACACTGGTCCTATCTGCTGAAGATTCTGTTAATGAGGGATGCCTATCTAACGGGCATTATAATGCGCCATCTAATGCAGCATTTGCCGTCTTCGGAGAACTTTAAAAATGTGGCCAAGCATTCGTTTACCAGTGCGGAAGGTGCGCCATTGAAATGCGAGGCCTTCCTTTGCCGTGGCGAGTGCTTCAATGTCACCGACTCCATAGCGGCGGATATAGGTGCGTCATAATTGGCAAGAGAAACTCTTTTTACTATACTCAGCCGGTCTGTCTTTCCAACTGCGTCAGGCCATCTGTTAGTCGGGCAATCTTGACTAGGTCACTCTAACTTGATTCTTAATGGGATTTATATATTATTCATGCAGATCCTGTGGGACAGTCGAATTATCAAATTGTGCTGTCCCTCACATACCTGGTTGTAGCCGTGGGCAAGGCTGTTGATATCAAGTCCTGTCTGATCAAGACACTGGAGGAGCATGCTGTGAGCGGCTGGAGCGATTGCCTGGACAAGCGTCAGGTGTGGAACCAGAAGCGCACCCCTTGGCTGGAGGCCATCATGCACTTTGTTTACCCAGTGCTCGACTGCGTCGTCGAGATGCTGATCAATGCCGTGGAGAACGGTGCCAGCATGTATCAGGCCATGTCCCTTGCATTGACGTGCGTCTCAGAGATTTGGGATTGCATGCCCGAGGGCTTGTACAAGATAACAGCCCTGCTGCAGGATATAATACCAGTGTCCACGCGTCCACTGGGTGATTCGGTGTTGCTGCAGGTGGTTTTCGCAGCTCTCTACACGGAGCTCATCAAGACGGCAGAATCACACGAACAGGGTAAGTCTCAAGGATGAGTTGTAAGCTCCACGTGTGTATATGTGTATCTTTGAATTTTATGGCAGCCAAAAATGTCGACAAAGCTGCCATTTGTTATTCGCTATCGGAAGCGATTTGCTCCGTAGATGAGGATGACAAGCACACTGACCAGATCGAGCTATTTTTGAAGCAAGCCAAGGAGAGCATTAATTTAGACACGGATTTCGGCGGCAGCAGCTGCGGCCGCGGAGCCGGCGGCATGAGTGCCGTTAGCACCGTTAAAATGGATGACCTGGCCATAACCAATGCCGAATCGGAGCGCTTGAGTCACAGTCCGCCGGCCAATTATGCCATGGAACTGGATGTGGGCATTGCCGATTATATAGCCGAAGTGCTAGCCAGCGATGTGCTGACCACCAACATAGGTAAACAGGCGCTGAAAGTGCTCTATAATTATCTGAAGTTCAACAAGGATTGGCTGCTCGAGCAACTGGGCACGGGCGACAATGAGCCAAGCCCGTTTCAGGGCGTGCTGGGCCAGAACATACAGGAAGCCAAGTTCTCGGTGCTGAGGTCCATGTTCTTTATAGGCAATACACCCTTCGACCAGCTGCTAACGGGCTCATTAAAGATCGACTATGTCAGCTGGCTCCAAATGCCGCTCTCCCTGAACCCAGAGCGGACATGGCTGCATCTGACGCGTCGCTGCGACTTCCAGGAGGATGCCAAGCTCGCACTGCCCGAGGTGGCCATGGTGGCGGGCATCAGCAAGATAATGAAACGGCGTAAGGACTTCGCTAAATAAGAAGCATCATTAGCATTGCGCATACGCCACGTTGTACCAGCAAAGATGACATTAATGGCGCATAAGGCAAACAGCACGATGGCTTCTTAGTTCCGAAAATGCTCATAGCTAACAGATGAGAGATCCAGAAGTTGTAGACAAAACCTGAAGCAGGCTAAAAAAATATTTACTCCCCAACTACTCCTGTGTTTAATGTGTATGGTGGAGGAGCAGGGTGGGGGCGGATGGGATGCTGGCATTTTCACTGCCGAAAATGTTTTTGTCCACAACTCTGCGTAGATGGCGCAATTGTCAACTGCTTCGCGTGGCAGCAGCGCCCCTCGCCTTGGCCACGCAGTGGGCCAGTTATGAAAATTACTGAAACGACGCCAACAAACATACAAAGTGTTGAACAGGGTGAGGACAACGGGTGGGGCACAAGGGCAGGCAGCTGAAGCATGGAAAACACACCAGCAGCAGCAGCAACAACAACACGCAGGGCAACGTGACAAAAAAAAGCAAAGGAACTGAGAGTCGGCATAAAAGACAGGAGGCAGCCGCTGTCTTTTTAATAAAAATAGTTTATGGCAACATTAAGACAATTTTGAGATGTCAAGCTCTTAGTTATGCCATAAAATGCTTGATTTAATGTTGGTTCCACTTCAACAATATGTGAATCCAGTTAACTTTAATCGAGGTAGCTTTTAAACAGAGAACCTATCTTGAATAACGATGGAAGAGGCTTTTTTTAATAATTTAAAAAATAAACTGATTTGGTTGTGGAAAGCACACTTATATGCGCATTGGAGTGTACTATTATTTTGATTTACAGCTCAGCGCAGAATCAATCAAATAGTAAGTACTTCACAAAGTAGGGCATCCCGTTGGCACGCTGGCCGCTTGCTGTGGCCCACAGAGTCAGAGTCAGGCAGCCTGAAAGGCGACTAAGGACGATTGCTCTATTCATTCACTTGGCGCTGCCAGAAGCGTGCGGACGTTGTTTAGGGTACTCCGACTCTGAATACGACTCGGGTTCGGCTTTTGGCTCTAAAGTCAAGTGGCAAGTGGCACCTGCACAAACTTGGCGGACATTTTAAAAAGTCAGTGGTTGACGTTCTGCGTGCGTTGCGGTGTGCGGGGTAAATGAATGCTGCATGTTAACGGTAATTTGCAGCCATTAGTTGCCGCACACACACACAAGCACACTCAGACGCACACACAAAGTGGCATTGTGATTAAATGCGTTGAAAAGGAAAACGAATTATACGTGGAAACGTAGAGAGTGTCGGTCGCATTACGCATACGCAGCGTACGCTGGCTCAAAGTTAATGCTGAAATTTAAACGCGTAACGAGCTGCTTATTGTTTGTGTTTTTTTGCTTTTCGTTGTTGTTGTTGTTGTTGTTAGTGTCGCTATCCTTGGCAATCGTCGGTCGGTTGCTTGCCAAGAAATTGGATACGTTGCCGTAAAAGTTCACTTGATTTATATTCAATGCACAACACAATGTGTCTTCTGAGCTAAGCCCTGCTGAGCTCTGCTGGTGTACGAGTATTAGCTGATGTATTAACGTGGCCACTGGGCTGCCAATCTGTTGGCTCTTGTTTCGGGATATGTGCAACTAAAACGTTTATTATTAAAAAAAAAAATACATTGAAATATATATTGTGAGCCATGAGTGAACCACATCAACAACACGAGCAATTGCAACGACGTCGTCGCCGCTGCCGCCAGCCGGCCGAGCCTTGTGAGTGTTTACGTCCTGTGATAAGGGTTTTTGGTCTGCTGACTTCATTCGGTAAGCACAAGTGCAAGCACACACGCACACACCCACACACGCACACACCCACACATCACACACACTTACGCACACAACCATAAATCGGAAGTGATTCAAGTGGAAGAATATGAGCTAAATATAACTTATACAGGTAGCACATAATATATGATAAGGCAAAGGGGTTCATCGTGTAATAGAACACTTATCATACATAAAACTCCAGAATGTTAAAAGCTAATTTAAAAATTTAATTAAGTATAAATTAAATTTAAGAGAAAGCGCTTGGGTAAATATTGTAATTGTGAAATTACGGGAAGACCTAATTCAAAATTCGAGTTCTGTTGCGCTTAGAGGTCCCATAGATACTTAAAGGTATATGTATGTAAATAAAATGAACTCAATTAGAAAAGTTCCTTAAAATCATAATTAATGAAGTGCACTTCTTTTTGCAAACTAAATTTAAAATATTTAAAACTGTTCAGCAAGATGAAGCGAGTTGCATGCAACATGCGAGCCACTTCATCTATTCCCCATTTGAATGCAATTTATAATCTGCCCCAAACACTTTTGCATATGCTACATTTATTAAATTTAGCTTTGCCGCTTGTCATGCCATCACTCCCAGGAGTATCATCTGTATGCCTCGTCTAATGCACTTCTAATAGCAGCTTTCAATAGAGCAACAGTCCTTAAGCGAGCCTGACTAGTCCCAACTGGGACGTATGATAAATGAGCACTGGTTAAGTCCGCGGCATCAGCAGCAGCAGCTACAACTTGGGTCAAGTTCAAAATAATTTGCCAACCATATTGTTTTTGTTTAGACAAAGTCTGGGTCTGCATTATGCATGCAGGCCGGAAGAACTCACAGTTCATAAACCTCAACGCTGCGTGATGCTCAAAAATCGGATAAAAAAGAATGCTCTCTCAGGGCCATTAACGAGACATTGGCCCTTTTTTTCTGCAGCTGCACTTGCACATCCCTGCCAAGTGCACCCTTTTATAGTGTTTGCCCCCCATACAATGATTTTTGTTGTTGGCTTTCTGGCGCCAGTCAGTTTACTGGAAACCCTCCTCCAAAATATGGCGACGCAAAAAAAAAAACCAGAAAAGTTTAGCTGGGATGCCCCTGCCCCTTCTTAATCGACTAGAGAGCAGCGCATAATTTTTGCCTAGTTTTTATTTGATTTTCTCTGGACGCACGTTTCATTGACTTTTTTTTTTTTCGTTCTCGAAGCGTTTAATGTAATTGGTTTGGCTTTGGTTTTTGTTGTGGATTTTGGTCTAACCTCATTTGCCTTTTATCTGCAGTCTAATCGAATTTGTTTTCCCGGCGCATACAATAACAACTTAATTAGATTGAATTTTCGGTAGATTTTCGCATTTCTTGTTTTTGTTTGGCATCTCTTTGTTTATGTTGTTGTTGCTGTAGTCCTAGTCATATTTTACACAATGAAATTAAACGCTTCTAGGCATAATTTGGTTAGAATATTATACATATGCTATGAAAAGCGGGCAGTCAAAGAAGTTCTGAAATGCGTGCGGCTGATGAGAAATCTATTTGTAAATATTCATTTTCTACATAATATAGATCAAATGAATCACGAATTATTTACTGTTCAGGAAATAGTAAAATGTTTAAAGTATTTAATAATAAATAGAGTTTTATTAATTTAAGCCTTCATAATAGATAAATCTATTCTAAAGGTTTTTATAATTTTTGATATTTGTAGCACGTTTGCCTTTTCTTTAGTTTATTGTGGATAGTTGAACATGGCTGAAGCTCATTTCTAAAGAAAACGAATTCATTTTGTTGCATTTCTAAAATCAAATATCCTCTTCCATAGTTCCAAAACTTTTTCGACTACCCTCGCACATTCGGCTTTGTCTCATCAATGTTACTTAGATTACATATTTGCGTTTTGGCATATTTTATGGCCCATCGAAGTCTGGATGAAATAATATTTGTGTAGACACAATCCTATATTGTTTAATACGCATATTCTACAACACGAAAAACTCATAACACATCCCCGCCCAATACCAATTTCTTGAGCATCCAACAGCCAATTTGTGGTCATTTTTCATTTCAGTTATCTGCGGAGTGGGCGTTGATGTCTACATGCATGGCTATCAGGCGGGCCTCTTTATATTGTAAGAAGCTCTGATGCTCTGCTAGTCATGGATCATAAAATTTTAATGCTTGGCCAGTTTTTCAGCTTTGCTGGTGCTGTTCATTGAGTTAAAATGGCTGATAACCATATTTCTGCAGCTCCAGTGCGGCGAGTAAGTTGCTCAACCCGTAGAAGAAGGTCATAAATTGAATGCATGCGCATATGTATTTATTTATTTTTAATTTTCAGCGATAATTACCACAGCTCCTCCTACTGTCTGGACTGCTGGCGTTTGTCAACGTTGCTGGGTGGTTGGCGGCCGGCGCCCATATATGTCGCCATGGGCGTGGCACTGATACTCTTTCCCCACAATCTTTGGCTGAGCTATGTGGCTGGTATGTTTCTGCTGCTCCTGGCTCTGTTGCGTCTCTGCACGCTGCTTAGATTTGGCGGAGGAGCCGGTCACTTCAAGGACGAGGGCCTGCTGCCACAATGCGATTTCGAAAAGTGACACATGCCACATGTAAAAAATTAGACTCCAATTAAAATGCTTGTTTCATTGTTTGCAGAGTCTCAAGCTTTGTGGACAGCGTCGAGGACGACTTCGCTGAGGTCAGCGTCTCGCAGCCAGATGATGAGGAGCCGACCATGGAGGATGAAGTTTGCTAATGGTTGCTGGTATTGTTTATAGTGTCATTTTCTTGGTTTCTCAAATTTTTCATTGGTCTTCTGTTCTTCATTGTTTCACATTTCAAACACTTTTAAGACTAACCGATATTTTAGCTAGAGTTCATAATAAACTGGGGGAAATTTTCGTCCCGAATGCTTTTATTTACACTTCATAAATATAGAGTTTTCCATGCAGGAACATTATTTTTAAAGAGCACTTTGTATTTATATTAATAAGTAACTAATTTTAAAACTTCCATAAGAACCGCTTTGTTATAAATAAAATAAACCGTTTTTTATGATGAAACTCAAAGCTGAATTGTACAACACTCTAGCGAAATTCTCAACATATCATTGAGCATTTGCAAGGGGACAGCTTGACTGATGGCAGGGTAAATAAACAGCGCGCATGTCTGACAAGGTGGCAACGCCATGACCACCTGAAGAAGATGGCGGTGCTGGGTCAACAGGCTATTAACTAATGGGCATTCCTATAGGTTACAAAATGTCCTTCAACTGCCGTTACACTTTGTTCCGCCCAAAACACGTAAAAGTAAAATTATACCGGGAAAAGTAATTTATTTATATTTTTAGTTTTGACATTTAACATGCAAGCTTTGCCCCGTAACACAAACAAACTTTAATATTCCGTACCAGAAGGTTATGTTCCTTGGAACTTTCTAGGCAAATCTTATAAGCATGCATATATATTATATAGTCAAAAACATTTTGGGGGTCACTGCTGTCATACTCACACTTCAGTCTAATAGTTAATGGGGCTTTACTGTGGGGCGTTTGAAAAGTTCACCATTTATGCGAAGTTATTTATATTTTTCGCGGTTACATAGATTCTGTCATAGTTTGTATAAATAGTTTGTAACTTTTAAAGTTAGTTTTTTATTAGGTTGGTATCTTTACATGTTTGCTATGCAATAAACATATATAACATTATTTATATATTTTGTTGTTTAACTTTTACGAAGTTTTCCAATTGAAAAACCTTGAGGTAGCTGCGTTTTACTTTCGTTATTTTGTTTTTAATAATTAATTCTTTAGTGTTAGGTTGTTGGCTCTCCCTGATATATAGGCTATTGGTGTGGATCAGAAGTTTTGGACAATTGTCATATATCGAGATATTATTTGTATTATACTTATATAGTATGATAACACCAATCCTTTTTGTTGATGAACCTCATTCTTAAACTTAAAAGTTAAAAACGAAAACAAGCCACAAAATTTAACTAAAATTTATATTTTTTTATTTTGTATATTTTTTATATATTATGTTGTATGTATGTATATCGTTTATATGTATATAATATTATGCATCAACATATACATAAAGAAAATATCGAAATCGTAAAATAAATCGAATTAAATAAAAAAATAACACAAAAATTAAATTAAACAATAAAAAGAAAATGTTAACATTTGATCGAAAACAAAATAATAATTATTATTTTTGGCATAGCAAAAAACGATTGTTCAGTACGTGTAGGGGTAGGAAATTCTGTAACTGTAACTATTTATCATAGATCTTGCACAGTCGCAATCTATATAATTCGCAAGCATTTGGTGTCATGGAGTTAAATGCGCAACTATTGGCACATTCCTAACGAGGTTTGGCAAGAGATTCGGCTTAGGCTGTTTACTCCTTGCATATAGCTAATGTATATAGCCTTTTTAAAGTCTTATGGTAAAGCTTGGTTTGACTAGAAAAGCAAAGTTGGTTATTTGCTGCATATTGGAACAATAGCAGGTAGTAAACAGATTCCGATTAGAGAAACTTGATACGTTCTCTCACGTGAATCCCCACATTAGTGTCCTCCCCACATGCCTGAACAATGCATAAACCAATATGTATATTGTGTATATAGTATAAGAGAACTATAGAAATTAAAATTGTGGTAGACATTAAAAAGTGTTCATTATGCATCATTAATCATTGATCATCAACATTATATCATCATCATCAACATCATTAGTTATCACTTGCTCTTCTTATAACGTAAGACTATTAACTATCATTGGGATTCTTTCGCACTTTGCTGGCTCTGTTCACTCGTATTTTGTTCGGGCCACTCTTAACTTTTACTTTATTCGCCTGGTTATAGAAGCCGCTGCCTCTGGTCCTCCTTCTTCTGCTTCTTTGCCAGCATTACTTTATTCCACTCTATAAAAATATAAACATTTGCCTTACATACATGTACGTACAAGGGAGAGGCATGGGCTGGGCTGGGCTGTTGGGATGGGTTTTGGTGGATTGCACCGTTCTCTCTATATAGTATTGATCTCTGATCTCTGGGTGTGGCAGACGCCCCAGCACACGCCGTCAAGGCCGACACCAGTTAATGACGTCCAATAGCATTGACGGCGCACTGCCTTTAGGCGTTGACTGCAACGACCCGCGTCCGCGTCGTCTACTGCCTCCTCGGAGTGCCCCCGCAAACTGCTACTAACTATATATATATATATATATACATATATATATTTATATATATATAGATACATATATACATTAGTAGAACGAACTGCACCAGGCATCGCCCGCCGTGGGGCTTAGCATGCCGACCAAATTGCTGCCATGATGCGACTGCACGGCGCTATTCGTCACAGACGCCGGCGATGCCACGTGATTCGAGCTGGGCAAGCATTGGAAGCAGTAGTTGGCGCCATAATTGCTATCCCAAAACTGTTGACCCTTGCACTGAAAGCGCACGGCAAACTCCAGACGTTGTCCGACATGCAGCGAATTGCCAAAGAGCACAAACGTGAACTTGTCGGAGAAGCCATCGCAGGAGTTCTCCACGTAGTTGGCCTGCAGATCCGCATAGCTGCGCCAGCCGTCCAGCGAGTAGCGCACATGCACTGATTTATGAAAGTCCAGATTGCGCACACGCACCGAACCGGAGATTGTCTGATTGATGCTATCGGTGACAGCGGCATTCTCCAGCGACACCTGCTTCTCGCGCACCGCATCGAGGAATGTGGGCAGTCCGCCCGGCTGCTGGAACAGCGGCATCAACAGTTTGTCCGATTTGGGACCAAGCTGCATTGGTGGCTCTGACTCAAGTATTTCCAGATCCTCAAACGCTGATTTCGGTATGGTTGGTATTTCGTCCAGAAATGTTTTCACATCCGCCAAATCCAGGCCAAGCACGTCAGCAAAGCGCACAATTTTCTTGCGTCCCGGCGTACCCGGCGGCGTTTTGCCCGTTTTCAAAGAGGAGCATCGTCGTACGCGTTGCGGTCGACAGTCGTCCTCGTCATCTGTGGTGTCTATGCCATGGCTTTGAATGGGTTTCTCAGCTGCGTTAATCGCCTCTGTGGCATCCTGTTGAGCCTGTTCCAGTTGTGCCAGTCCCACGTCCACAGTTAGCATGCCCTCTGTGCATTTGTCTACCTCATCTATACCGCCGCTCTCTGGCGCCTGCTGTGCTTCCTGCTCTCTCTGTTCCTGCTCCGCAATTGTCGGAACTAGCTTGTCATCTTCAAGTTGTTGCAGCTTCTCTTCTGGCTGATCTACGTGACCATTTACCAACACCGGCTCCTCCTCAACTGGCGCCTGCTCCGTTTGCTCCTGGCTGCAACCGTTGCCAGTGCTCTTGATGCTATCGCTGTGCTGCTGCAGTTCGCTTAGTATTTGTGCCTGCAGCAGCGTCTCATCATCGCTCTCCCTTGCTTGTTCCTCTTGTTTCGGTTCCACTGCGCCTACCATCTCCTCCTCCGCCTCCTCCTCCGTCGCCTCATTTTGATCACCATTTGTCAGAGGCTCATGAGTGCCATTCATTTGCAATGTGTTAACATATTCCTTGAGCTCCGTTGCCGGCAACTTGCTGCGCTCCGCCTGCGGCTGTGTGGTAACCAGCGGCAGCTCATTTGGCACATTGCTTGTGCTGCTGCTGCTCCCGCCCGCCGCATCAAAGTAGGGACCATCTGTGCTGCTGTGACTGCTAGCCGCCGAGGCGCAAGCATAGCCAGACTCGGCCGTGGAGTTGTGCGGCGTATTCGAGGCGGTTTCTATGAGACGCAGGTACTCGCACTCATCCACTGGACTGCCTGGCGATTCCAGCTCGCAGTCAAAGTCAAAAAATGAATCTGACTCATGACGCAGCGGCTGCAGATCGGTGACAGTCTGTTCCGATTCGTGTGCATTTACCCAGGTGTTGGTATTGCCGCCATTTATAATAGGTTCATCCTCTGCATTGGCGCCCTCCTCGTTTGCCTGCATTTCAAGAAAAGGATATGAATTGAAGGAAAAATTGGTTAAAATTCTATTTTAAAAAGCACTTTATTTTATTTTTTAATAATTTTGTATTTTTCCAAGGGCATTTAGTTTTCCGCAATCCAAAGAAATTCTCTTTCTGGTCCCACATTGATCTGTTCCAAACTGAATTCTCAAATGAAGATAATAACTCTTTCCATAAAGAATATGCACGACTGAAAAACTCCTATTCACTTGCTAATTATCCAATTTATTGAGCGTGTTTGTGTGTGTCGCAAAAAATATATTCTACTTGCACTCCTTTATCGAACTATAAAATGTGTGTTTTTAGCTGGCGTTTTTAAAGTATTCTTCTTTGCCAGCGCTATCCGGCTTCATGGTCTTTGAGCCCGGTCGCCAGTTAACCGGGCAAACCTCGCCGAACTCATCCGAAAATTGAAAGGCCTGAACTAAGCGCAGAGACTCCTCGACACTGCGTCCCACACCCAAGTCATTAACCGAGATATGACGTACGACGCCAAGTCGATCGATAATATACATGCCGCGATGGGCCAGACCAGTGTTCTCGTCCAGCATCCCAAAATCGCGAGAAATCTTCATGGACTTGTCTGACCACAGAGGAATGTCAATCTCGCCCAGGCCACCGGACTTACGTGGTTGCATCATCCAGGCGCAGTGCGCAAAATGACTGTCCGTCGAACAGCCAATGATCTCGCAGCCTATATTCCGAAACTCCTGGGCGCGATCGCTAAATGCCTGCAGCTCCGTTGGGCACACGTATGAGAAGTTTGCCGGATAAAAGAGCAGTACCACATATCTACCCCGATACTCGTGAAGTGTCATCGGTCTAAATGCACCCATTGATGTGACCGCAAGCGAATTGATTTCCGGTGCTGGTTTGCGCAGTAAAAGCATTTTCGCTTTTTTTTTCAATATTATAATGTGATGTGACTTGTTTGAAATCAGAAAAACTACTGAGGCTTTAG